TCCTTCTTTGTTCTTTGTTCTTTGTCCCATCCACATTTTGAACTTCAATCTGTTTAGGGAGCGAGTGGGTAGAGAAGTTGTTCTTTCGAACATATTTCCAGTCGATGAAAGTTCCAGCAGCTCCTGAATAAATTAGAGCAGCTGTTTTGGCAGTTTTATTGGACTTGCAGGATTCAATTGAAATAGGAAGCACATAGAATTTGAATCACCTACAGAAAATACAATGAGTCTGATAGAAGTACTAGGGGTTTCCGACGCTGGTCCAGTTTCCCCATTTAGAAATCCTTCTTAGAAGAGGAAGGTGTCTTTGATGCTTTCCAAGCTTTCCAAGTGAGGAATTCCTGATATTCTGCATCTTGATCGTCTTGATTGATCTTGGTTTTGCAGACTGGTCGACCAGCTGGTTTCTGCCAGCCTGGGGCGGAGTCTCTATGGTTAGGGCAATCTTTCATAAGCCCATTCTTTCCGCATTTAAAACATAAGCCCATCTTGCAGCATCTGTCTTGTTCTGAGCATGAGAGCCTTGTGTTGTGTACTTGGGTGGTGTCTTCTTTGTCTATGTTAAGGTTGTGCTCAAGGGAAAGATTACTCAAAGGGCTTTGGCTTCAGCTCGTGCGCTGCGCCCCTTACCTGATTACGTGCCCTTAATTTCCAAGGGGCAGAGGGGAAGTCCGACGGAAGTCTGGGAAGTCTGGAGGTCAGACATAGGGGGAGTTTGGTAGAACTCTGGAAGGCTAGGAATGGATAGAGCAAGGCTACTACAGACAAGTCCGGAGTAGAAGTGGAACAGAGTTAGACTACCCTAAGGTAGAGCCAGAGATTTAGTCCTAAGGTTTTAACCCTAAGACTTGGAGGTAGACAAGAGATTAGACTCAAGTCCAGAGAAGCAGGAATGAGCAGAACTAAGATGATATTCGAATTAAGGAGTACTGGAGTATTACAGGGGTTTATATACTGTAGGTGTTAGGTACCGTGCCGGCTCAAGAAGCAGAGGGGTTGGGGCTTGGCTTCAGCTCTTGCACTGCACCCTTAGCCAAGTACGTGCCCCAAATTTGGAGCGGATCCAATGTTGTCTGATGATAGGACAAGTGGACCACTTAGGTCTGCTTTAGGGTCGGGAGGTAAGTGCTACTAGAGGAGGCAAGGTCCTACTGAGAATTCTCACAAGTAGAAACTGCAAGAAGACAAGTAATATTAAGACTGGGGAAAATATCTAAGTACAGGATATGTTATATACTTCTAAGTATGAGGCAGTGATCAGGTCACTATGTTGTAAAGCTATGTACCAAGGATATAATTTGTAAGTACTTTACACAGGTGAAGACATAAGTTGGAGTGGATATCAATATGTACATGTCGGATCAGTGATCGAGCAGTAAGAAAATTACCAGTGATCCAGAAGTAAGGGTCTATGTACTGAAGGGGAAAGTATATATCTAAAAGGGGAAAGAGGTCCAGTTGAATGGAGAGGTTATGGAAGGGGACCAGTTGAGCAGTTGAGCAGAAGTGTAGGGGCGGAATGCAGACTTGTGATTGGATGGAGCAGAGGATGGATGGAGCAGAGGGGGTTGGAAAGCGGAGTGGATATTAATGTCGGAGCGGTCGGATGAGGTATATGACACCAGTCCAACATACCAGGTACAGGAGTTGGCAATGTCGCCTTTGGCAGTCAAGTTTGGAGTCCAGGATTTCGGAGATTTCATACTCTGGTTCTCCATCAACTTCAACTGCAGGCGGGGGTGGCTGGATATGATTATGAATGGTGTTCGGAGTTGCGGGCTCCAACTGCAAGATGTGGAATATGGGGTGTATGGATCACATGGAGTCTGGAAGGCAGATGGTGAAGGAGTGGGTACCGGGACAGGAAATGATGTCAAATGGCCCTAGGTTCTTTTCTGATAATTTCTTGGAAGGCTGGGTGGAACGGAAATATTTTGCTTTAAGAAAATATCATTGTACTGGTTATGATAGCCGATTGTAGTGCAGCATAAAATGTGCAACATGGATGGAGCATGGATTTATGGATGAAGGACCTTTGGTTATCTACAATTGTATTCATTTGTACACAACAGGTTTGTTGTTGTGATTGTACTTCTGAGGAAGGGTGCAATGCAGACCCTTGCAGGCACTACCTATATACATATCCAGGCTGTGGTTGACATGTAGGTAGGCCTGGTCATGCAGGCTGTATGGGGTGGCCGGCCAGCATGCTGCTGGTTTCTGGCACAGTAGGCCAGCCTGCCTCTGCAGTACATGGCAGGGTGTTGACCAGCCTAGGGAACAATTGTTGCTCACAGGGCCAGCCTACAGTAGCAGCCTGTGGGAAGGGACCGGCTGGTTTGCTTCTCATATCTGGCTGAGTAGGCCAGTCCCCCCCTTACTGTCTGCAGGAAGGGGCCGGCTGGCATCATGTGGGCATCTGGCCCAGCAGGCCTGTCCATTTCTGTAGTATGTGGTATGTGGCTGGCCAGCCTAGGAATGAATTCTTGCCTGGCCAGCCTCCCTTTGCAGCCTGTGTAGAGGGGCTGACCGGCATGCTTTGGGCATCTGGCCCAGTGGCCTGCCCACCCCAGCAGTATGTGGGAGGTGGCCGGCTGGCCTAGGAATGAATTCTTACTGGGTCAGCCTCCTTTTATGGTCTGCATGGAGGGACATACTGCTGGCATACATGTGAGACAAGAGCTAGTAAATATTAGGACACTTAACAGATTTGACAATAGCATTCATGGATTTTAAAGTTGTCATTTTGAAGCAAATTTGAGTACATTTGGAGAGATATTTATTGGAGTGGGTGTGTTGTGTGCTTAATTTATAGCTTATGACACATCTATTTCCTTCTGCATATGTTAAGACCGTGCTCAGGGGTAAAGCGGAGTCTGAGGGGCTTGGCTTCAGCTCGTATGCTGCGCCCCTTACCTGGGTATGTGTCCCTAATTCCGGAATGTAGTCTGACACAAATTCTATGGGTTCTGACAGGACGTCAGAATGGGGGTCCTCTGAAGGAGGACCAATGGACTACTAGGTGAGTGCAGGAAAGTCGGGCGGGGGTTGTTCCGCCCGACAGGAGGGAAGCAGGAGACTACTGCGGTCGGAACCAACAGTAGAAGCGGAGCAGAAGGAACTGCTTGGACAAAGTCCAAAGCAGAGCGGAACGGAGGGGATGGATGTGAGAGTGTGGGGTCTAGTTCCGACACACAGGAAGTCGGAGGAGCGGAGGGACAGAGGAATGGGGGAGCGGGGGAATGAGGGAATGGGGGAATGGGGGAATGGAGGATCGTGGGAACAGAGGATCAGAGGATCGGAGGATGGTCGACCTAGGGAGTCAATCCCCTAGGCCGGCTTTAACAGGAGTTGACTAGGATCAGGCCCAAGTCAGAGAACAGAAGAGCAGGGCTTAGAAAAGGCAATATTCGGACTGGGTATCTACAGACAAATGTACATATGTTTATATACTCTAAGTGATGAGCATAGCATAGCAGAAGGCTATGTGCTGAGTGTATAGGATTACAATAGGATGACTGAGACATATGAGAATAAGGCTTGGGGAACAGTATGTACACGACAGATCAGAATCGCTAGGGTATAGGGATTACCGGTGATCTGAAAAGCAGAACTATGATACTAAATGGGGATAGGACCAGTTGAGTGGTTCCTAGTCTAGGAGTGGACTGGTGAGGAGGTCAGATGGACTAATAGTCGGGTGGGGGAATACGAGCAGAACTGAAGGATCTGTGTGGGTTGGAAAAGCGGAGGGAGTAGGAATAGGATCAGGCGGACTGATGGGGCGGAGGAGCGGAACCCCAGATAGGGTTGGATGGAAGGGGTATGGGGTCGGAGGACATAGGGGTAGTGCTGGAAAAGCGGAACGGGGTCGGGCAGAGGTAGCAGGGCTAATCCTGCTGAGATGCAGTTCGTGCATTGTCAGGGAAGGAGGGATGGAGTGGATGGGGAAACAGGGGGTCGGACCAGGGGTGGGGATGTTCACAGGTGGTATTGGAGGTGCTTGGATCCGGTATATGACAGCATACTGCATTCCAGAACTTTATGTGGTGATCTGACCTTGAGAGCCAACCACAAAACTAGCCTCCAGCACCAATAAGTTGGCCATGGGACAAGATCTACTTCGATTTTCTTCAAAACAAAAATATGGTGCTTTGTATTATGTTGGGGGGAACCTAAATACAACATACATAAGGATTCTGTCAGAATTGCATGTGCTAGAGTCGATTTGTAGACTCTTGGGACATACTTTCTCAATACTTTTGTCTTTTATCTGGCAACAGAATTGACCACGAAGGAGAGTTGGAGACTGGCACCTGTGCCCTTACAACTGATGTATAGAGTACACCTCCTCCCCATTCTGACCCAACCACTCAGTAAAGCTCTAGTGGGTTATACACTCATTTTCTAACACATTTATGGAGTACCCCTTATCATCACACCTAACCACACTAAGTCAAGTTCTACTTCTAGGGAGGCCGGCCACCCCCCACATACTGCAGGGGTGGGCAGGCCTACTGGGCCAGATGCCCAAAGCATGTCAGCTGGCCATGGCCTGCAGATCGCAAACGGAGGCTGGCCCTACAAGCAAGAATTCTCTGCTAGGCCAGCCGGCCACTCTCCACATACTGCAGGGGTGGGCAGGCCACTGGGCCAGATGCCCAAAGCATGCCAGCCGGCCCCTCTACACAGGCTGCAAAGGGAGGCTGGCTGGGCAAGAATTCATTCCTAGGCTGGCCAGCCACATACCACATACTACAGAAATGGACAGACCTGCTGGGCCAGATGCCCACATGATGCCGGCCGGCCCCTTCCTGCAGACTGTAAGGGGGGGCTGGCCCAGCAAGAATTCATTTGTAGGCCGGCCAGCCACAGCCCACATATTGCAGAGCTGGGCAGGCCACTAGGCCAGAATCTATTTACATTCTGAATACTCACATCACACTTTTTTTACAAGTCAGGAAGATCAACATTACATTAGCATATCAACTCATGAACTATCAACTTGTTATAAGTAATTTTCCTTCAAAATTCTTGAGGCCCTGAGCTGAAAATTCTGCCCACATAGATGCCTGCCTCTCAGCATATGCCCTATTCCCATTCTTGATGCTTTCATCTGCCCGAACTCTCCACCTCTCCTCCTGTGTTCGAAACCAGGATATGGTCCAAAACATTTCATGTTGTACCAATTTCAGTTCTTCTGACCAACAGTCATACCGTGCTTTAGCTTTCAACCAATTCACACGATAAACTGGAAATAGGGAATATAAGCTAATTCACTTGATAAAAAACAGATCACAATAAAACTTACACTCATTCATCCATACGTTCTTCTGACTGTCCTCTGCATTGTTGATCCTCCAAAACCAAGCCAATTTATCTGAACCCTGCCCATGCCTGTTTTCTTCTGTAACTTCTTTGCTCACCACTAGGTCCTGAGGCTTTAGGGGTTGATACACTGCCACTGTATCAGAGTCAGCCCCTAGGCAGAGCATTGCAGCCCTTGCCCGGCTGTAACCTCTTGCATGTCTGTTGATGGAGAGAGTTATTGTTTGAAGTTCCTTTTTAGATCTAGTGCCCTGGTAATGGACCAATTTGTTGGAGTGTATTTTCTCTTGAAAGACGAATGATATATCACCCAGGGCTTGACAAAGCTTTTCCAGGCAGTCGTTTGCTTGACCCTTTCAAAGCTCGAGTTCTTCTTGATGTAATGCCAAGATGACATCATCCATGATGTGACCAGAGGCTGCCCATGATGGCATTCAAATCTCGGTGACTTCTGCAGGTGAGTCAATATTACCGTCAAAGTCCAAAGTGTCCTCTTCCTCTGGATCTTCCATATTGGATATATCAGCCTCCTCCAGGCACAGTTCAGGGTTGTCCAGTGGTGCTCCTTCACCTCCCTTCAATTCCATACCATTAGTCATGACCTCTGCAGCCTCATGGAACTTAATAATCTGTGCCATGAGCTTTTGCCTTTTTTCTTCTATCCCGGTTCTCTGAGAAGCAGTTGGATCCTGGGGCAGCTGCCTTATAGACAATCTCAAGGCATCTCTAGTAACACAATTTAAGTCAATCCAATCCCAAAGTTAAAATACCTTACTGAGAATTTTCTATATTTATACCCTTGATCAACCATGCAACAGACCCAGTCCTACCATTAGCAGATAGTTCATTTTCAGTCAATCTGAGATGTATTTCAGCCATAGAGGGTGCTTTAAATTATTTTCCATCAGGGCAAAATCAACATCCACAACACAAGACCTACCTTTGTCCATTTTAAGCTGATAGATGTCAAGAAGCTCTCCACAGTCCTGAGCTGCTTTTTCGGCTGCCTTTTTCCACTCCTGAACATCATCCAAGTCAAGTGATCTGGTTAATTCCTCATATGGACCCTGAGTGTCACTTACACCCTGTAGGGCATGACAATACTTTTTGAGTAATGACTTGACTTTTGCCAAGTTTATGTCAGGTGAAGTAACAGAAACCAGAATAAATTGGACTTGCCAATGCCAACCAGCTTCTTCCAATTGGAATCCCGCATATGGTCATCCAATACTTCCTTTCGGTGAGCCAAAGACATGGATCTTGCAGTAGGGGAAATCTTGTTGAAAGGAGCCCAGAGTGTCTCCAATATTTCCCCATCAATATGCCCAGCCCTGGTCACAAAATTCAGGCTGAACCTAGGAAAGCATTGAAGCTTATGTGCGCTCAAATGAAACTTGCCAACTGCAGGTAATATTTCGGTCCCCTTGGGAAGGGCCAGATGATAGCTCTGGTCCACCCATTCAGCAAAGTGAATACTCCACTGACATGCAACATCATAGATGATGAGCATACTGCCAATATGTTCAGGTGTATATTTAACTGCATTGCAAATGGAATAGTCCATGTTCATGTGCCTGACTACAGGGTCAGTCCATTGTCTGAAACAACGAAACAATCACAGACTGCTCTCCCTTTTGGAAGTCCACCACTGCATGAGGAACAAAGCATCCATGCCTAGCACATGTTGTTGCCCCAACCCCTGTAGCTCTAAGGTTGCTTCTTTGGATGTTTGTTGCATTCACTGCCCGATGATTGCTGCAAGTGGATTTCTTCAAAAATATTATAAGTCAGGAAGAACCGATCATTCAAAATCATCACTTGCCTCTCTCTCTTCTACAGAATCATAGATGTGAACTTGATAAGGTCCCTCTGTTACCATGTATCCCTTTCCATCTGCTAGAGAAACATCATCTTCTGGAATTTTCATTTTCATATGTTGTACTGTGAAATTTCCATCGACCACATATCTTCGCATAACTAACCACCTACCACAGACCAATAATGAGTGACATACTACTGCAATAGTTATGAGTCAGCTTACTCTTCATAGTCATATCTCCAAGATGTTGGCAAGTTGATTCCAGGTTGTGGACATGCTGGGCAATAAAGGGCTAAATCCCCTGGACCAGGGGATCGTTCCATGTCATGTCCAAACCTGAACCTTTTTCTATTGACCAAATCCCACCATATACGTGACACTCGCATAAGCTCACGGTATCGGTCCTTTTTATCCTATCAGCAGGGTACATAATCATATAAAATTACTCACCGGTATTTTATCAGGGAATGCATTGTTTGTGAACTGACGGAGCTTTTGATAGAAACTCATGGCTGAAGTCTTGCACTCCAAAGAGTCTATGAGGAAGTTATCCAGGACATCGAATGTGAAAGCAGATTGAGGGCGAGTGATACTGGCAGGAAATAACCTTGCTTTCATGAGATGGAGATGCCATGCCTTCTCAGCTCCAGGACACTGGCACCATGATACACTGTGTGAGTAAACACCAGTAGAGTGCACAATGACCAGGTTAGATACTCCTAACTGTGTGTCATTAATTGTATCCCCCTCCTCCTGTGCAAACACATCTTCCATGGACCCAAGATCTTCCCAGGGAGATGGGTCTGGCTGATGTGAGAGATTGGGGCAAGGTTCCCCCCCATGGCCAAGATACATTATATACCCTTGAGCCTGCAGGGTGTCATATACCGGATCCGAGTACCCCCAGTACCTCCTATGAGCATCCCCACTGCTGGCCTGACCCCCTGTTTCCCCGTCTGCTTCATTCCTCCTTCCCCGACAATGCATGAAGGGCATCTCAGCAGGATTAGCCCTGCTACCTCCACCCAACTCTGTTCCGCTCTTCCGACATTACCCCTATATCCTCCAACCCCATACCCCTTCCATCCGACCCTATCTGGGGTTCCGCTCCTCCACCCTATCGGTCTGCCCGATCCTATTCCTACTCCCTCCGCTTTTCTGCCCTGCTCAGATCCTTCGGTTCCGCTTGTATTGACCCACCCGACCATTAGTCTGTCCGACCGCCTCACCAGTCCACTCCTAGACTAGGAACCACTCAACTGGTCCTATCCCCATTTAGTATTATAGTTCCGCTTTTTGGGTTCCCGGTAATCCCTATACCCTAGCGAGTTCTGATCCGTTGCGTACATACTTTCCTCCAAGCCTTTTCTCGTATGTCTCAGTCATCCTATTGTAATCCTGTACACTCAGCACATAGCCTTCTGCTATGCTATGCTCATCACTTAGAGTATATAAACCTATGTACACTTGTCTGTAGATACTCAGTCTGAATATTACCTTTTCTAAGCCCTGCTCTTCTGTCCTTTGACTTAAAAGTCTTTCCCAAGTCAAAACTCCTGTTCCCCGGCCTAGGGGATTGACTCCCTAGGTCGACTGTCCTCTGATCCTCCGACCCTCCACTTCCCCGTTCCTCTGTCCCACTGGTTCCGCGGGTTCTGCTATCCTGCGGGTTCCTCCATTCCTCCGACTCCCCGTGCATCGGCCGCACTTTCCCGCGCATAAGATCCGATCCCTGCACTCCCTCATATCCACCCCCTCTGTTCTGCTCTGCCTCGGACTTCATCCGAGCAGTTCCTCCCGCTCCATTTCTACGGTGGGTTCCAACCCCAGTAGTCCCCCGCCTCTCTCCTGTCGGGCGGAACCCCCGCCCAACTTTCCCGCGCTCACCTAGTAGTCCGACGGTCCTCCTTCAGAGGATCCCCATTCCGACGTCCTGTCGGAACCCATAGAACTCGCATCAGACTACATCCCGAAATTAGGGGCACGTACTCGGGTAAGGGGCACAGCGTATGAGCTGAAGCCAAGCTCCCCAGACTCCACTTTACCCCGAGCATGGTCTTAACACAGGGTAGTAGTCTCATAGAACCTGGCATTCCAGAGTTGAAGGTTGTGGAAGGGGTTGTGTTGATGAGCTTTAAGAACACAAGAAGGACATCAAGCATGTGTTCCTGAGCAAGACAAACACTGGATCAACCCCTCTCCTTCTCCACAATCATTGCATTTCCCATCGTTGACCAGCTGCTCTAACTCCAATAACACTGAAAGATATTCAGTGCACCAAGGCAAATAATCTCGAAGGAAATCATTTTGGGCCTGCACATGATTTTTTTTTAAAACTTGAGACTTTAAAATTCAATGAACTCAGTTTTGTTTTTCTTTTCATACCATCCAAAAATCACCATGAACCTCTTGGTTGTATTCCAGCAGTATACGATCTTCAATATGGTGGTGCCTGATTTCTTTTGATGGTGAAGCCACTTCTATCTCACTATCAGAGTCCTCATAGACAAATGAAGCATTAGCTTCTTTCCGCGAATCTTTTCCCCTCCAAGTTTTTGAAGGGATATATACATATTTATAAGCCCCTCTTTTTCTCTTTGATGGGCAAGTTCCAGATGAAGATGGCTGGACTCTGACCCTGTTTCTATTCCTTGGTGTGATTTGTGAGCTCATGAAATCGAGAGTCTGTCAAAGGGGACAAAACAACAAGAACATTGGCATTATCTGGGCAGTCCACCACCACCACCGCCCACACACCCCAAAACAGTCCTGTTCCTATCCTAACTATATTTGTAATTTATTGGCTCTCCGACCCGCAGGTTTGGGTTTCCTCCCTACCAACTCTAAAAAGTTCCTCTGCAAAGGGAAACTTGGCCTTGGCACTTTAACTCTATCATGCCCAGCATCCTTCATAAAATGGGCAACCACAATTCTTTCTCCATTAATCCAAGGACCCACAGAGTGCTCTACTACCCTACCGGCAATGTAGACCATTGCACCAGGGGAATAGTCTAGCTCTGCATGGACATCGGCCAAAGAAAGAGTTGCATGATGGTTTCAACCTAAACTGACTAGAAGATCAAAAAGTGAAGGAGATCCACCAGGATCTCTGTGGCTGAAGGTTGTTCGGTTGACAATGATTTCCAACCCTGAAAAGATAGAGGGTCAAGAATCCACCAGAGCCGAATTATTTTTTCGCCTCCAAACTTCCTTGACAACCTTGGAAAATGCAGAGGAGCCTGATTCAAAAAGGTCTGGTGCCACTGCTGCAGTAATGGAGTTCCATAGAAGTTCTGAAGTTGTTAAGGCACCTAGCCATTTTTGGACCTTCTTTGAGTTGTAAGACTCCGACGTTACCAGAGGATCTATCAATTGCTAATCACCAGGTGAGTACTAGGAAAATTCAGCACTGAAAATACAATACCTCTTGTCTTTGTATGAAATATGCAGACGACACAGTAATCCTACCAGCCCCAAATTCACCCCCTCCCTCTGGCACCACAAAGCCATCATCTCACCAACTTTTTTTTTGATCCAAAATGGGCGGCAGGGTGTCAAGAAGAGAATCTCATAAGCTTGAGGTGGCATTGTTAATGTAATCCTAATTAATCAATCAGCCCCTGAGGGAAAATCCCATCCAGAAATGTACTAAAGAAGGTGACAAAATATTGGGCAGGTAAACCATCAACATTCTGCCATGCCTGTCTACAATGGTGGCCGGAGTTGAAATTTTGCTGAGCACTGCCTCAGAGAAGTACTTCTTGAGCCTTTCTGGTTCAGAGGTTGCTGACTGTCCCGATTTGGTAGAGACAATTTGACCCTGTCAGCATATTGATCCACATCCCAATCAACATTGACTATACTTCTGCTTTAGAATTCATGACAGTTAAAAATATTTGAGGACACTCACTGGGATTGACCATTGCATGGGCAATAGTTAGTGTGGCCCAATCAATTTCATATTCTGAAATTGATGTATCAGTAAATGTAGTGTCATCCAGTGTTGCCAAGCAAATCTGGAGGTGCACTGATATTCTCATTCTAAAAGATTAATCAATTAGAATTCAGCTAAAATTGATGATCCACCATAGATACCTAGCTTTATGCAACAGCTTAGTTACCACTTGCCCATCTTTCAGGACACCCATTTCAGATGAATTCCCAAGTATCTTGCTGATCCTGCTACTCAGAGCTTCCCTTACTTCAGATGCCTGGCTCTTCAGGTTCTCTTCCATGGCAGATGTAAAAATGAAAATGAACCAAAGTTCTCACGAACTTCAAACTTAGTTGTGATGTAATTAATGAGTCTATAAATAAATATGATTAGGCTAATTATCGCTAATTAAGGCATATTTGGTAACTGACACCCAAACTCTTGGCGATGTTAATGAAGTTTACAGTACTCTGCTGTCATTCAGACCTTTCTCATATCAAAGTCACTGCGTGGAATAGAAGGAGCAGATGATATGTAGAAAGGGAATATGTTATGATGAGAATACAGCGGTTAAAGAGTATTTCAAGGACATGTAATTCTGCCCAGAATACTTATGACATAGGACTATGAATTTTGTTTGAAAAAAAAAGAAGTGGTTGTATGATAGCTATGATAGTAGTACATTGTTTGCATTCAGGGGTATCTCCAGATTCCCTGGTAAATGATAAAGCCGCAAATCACATACTGTTTACATCCAAATGCCTTCCTATGCCATAATCTCATCCTCATCAATATTCATGACATCATCTTCATCAAGGCTGAAGACGTCCATATCTCCCTATGATAGTGTAGAAGGAGGAGTGTAGTGTCAATATATAGCAGCAAAATATAATATAACAAACTCACATTATTTGAGTCATCTTAGTCAATAAGCATCACATCCTCCTCATCAAGGCAGAAGACGTCCATATCCTATGATAGTGTAGAACGAGAAGTACAGTGTCAACATATAGCAGCAAAATATAATATAATAAACTCACATTGTTTGAGTTATCTTGGTCAATGAGGATCGCCTCTTCGTCATTGAGGCTGACATCGTCCATCTCTCCCTATGTAGTGATGAAAGAAGGAAAGAAGTGTAAATATAAATGAATACAAGATGTACGCTACTCACCGTTTTAGTGATTTGGGTTTGATGTTCGTCAATAAGCATCTCATCTTCGTTATGGAGGTTGACAAAGTCCATGTCTTGCTATGGTGGTGTTGGTAGAGTGAATGAAGGTGAAAAGCAAGATTTAAGCTAATTAAAATACTCACCTTGTTTGTGTCGTCTTGGTCAATGAGGATCGCGTCTTGGTCAACAAGCATGGTATGGTAGTGTAGGTAGAGTGAATGAAGGAGAAAAGCAAGATTTAAGCTAATTTAAACCCACTGTTACTGACAGTGCTGCAACATATGGATGATAATGCAGTAAGTGAAGCACGGTCCCAGAATGACATTAGGCCAAGTAATGATGCTGTAGGGTATAGATAGTCCTGGTAAATAAACCCAACGTTACTGACAGCGCTGAGATATGGAGAAGGGCGAAAATGAGTGTATAAGTGGCAATAGGAAAAACGCAACAATGACCATGATGCACCCAGTATCAGTCACCATTAGACAGATATAATCTCAAGACATTATTACCCTTTAAGGTGCACTCTCATGATCACGTGACATTTATTTTTGGCAAAAAAATAAGGATCACATGACATTAAAATACCCATAAAGGGCAATATATTTGCGCTATGGCTTCACATGTAATCTAAAGTGTACAAGGTTGGCAAAAATAAACAAAGACAAAAGACTAATGATGCAAGACAAGGATGGAGGGGCCCTCTCCATCCAAGCCTTGCACCCTAGAGTACAAAATATAAGTAAAATGCACAGTAACTAATAATCTAATGTAGTGGAAGTCAGTATGATATTGAATATTAAACAAAAAATGATATAGAAAGCTAGAGAAAGAAATGCAGTTAGTGGTAGAGTATGATTGAAAGAAGAAAAACCCACTCAACCAGACAGGCGCAAAGCAAGAAAGTGTTATAGAAAGCTAGAGAAAAAAATGTGGTTAGTGTGGTATACTTGAAGAAGAAGAAATAAGGGGGGCTTAATAAGGCAGGCGGAAAATCTGAAAGAGAGGTGAGTAGGCGTAAAAACTGGACAAAAGTCAAGGCACCAGTCCCTAGGGACATGGTTGGCCAAGAGCATATCCCCCAGATCCCAAAGTCCAAGGCGCCAATCCCTGGGAACATGGTTGGCCAAGAACACAACCCTCAGATCCCAAAGTAAAGGCACCAGTCCCTGGGGACATGGTTGGTCAAGAGTATATCCCTCAGATCCCAAAGTAAAGGCACCAGTCCCTGGGGACATGGTTGGCCAAGAGCATATCCCCCAGATCCCAAAGTCCAAGGTGCCAGTCCCTGGGGACATGGCTGGCCAAGAGCATATCCCCCAGATCCCAAAGTCCAAGGTGCCAGTCCCTGGGGACATTGTTGGCCAAGAAGAACTAAAAAAAAGTCAATCAAGAATCAAGAGAAAGGACTAACCTTAAGGTGCGCCAGCTGTCAAATTAAAAAAAACCAAGTCAGTACTACAAATCATATGACTTAAAATTACTTACTGAGAGCGGTAAAAAGTTAATGTAACACTGCCTTTGAACACTTGCAGCTGCAGTCTGCAAGTGGCCAAAGGACAGGTACAAAAAGATAAGGAAGAAAGGTGTAATATATATGAGTTATGGGACAAAGTGGAAACATGGTTGAAGTTGAGAAAGACGAACCATGGGAACAAGATTGATGGTTGAAGTATTGTTTGTTGATTTGTTGATGTTTGTACCAAATGTTCCCGCACTCAATTCCACTGGTTGTCGGACTTGGCTGGGGGAAGTCACGTGCATGTTTGGTTGGTTTTTCGACTTGTTTCTTTTGTCTAAGTCTCTTCTTTCTCTTGTCAACATGTCTCTTTGATCATGTGAGTGTCTTTTGTTTGTTTTTGTCCATGTGTCTCTTTTGCTGACGCGTCTCTTTTGTTGACGTGTCTCTTAAGTCATGTGAGTTTATCTTTTTGTACTATGCTAATACTAACTACAATCTCAGCTCTTGTCACCCATTATGGTCCGCACCAAGAACACTGCCAAAAAATCCACTGGTGGCTCAGCCCCACGTGTCCTCCTCAACATCTCAAGCACCCAGATTTCTGGAGTGGATAGCCAGAGAAGGAAGGCTTTGACTGCCTCCAAGGTCACACCTGTGGGAGGTGAGGACATTGAGAAGAGAGATGCTCATAATAAGGTGCGTCTTACTTTTTCTGTCTTGTATTTGCTGATTCACTTTATCTTTCTCTCTTATGAAGGCTTTGACCACTGCCAAGGCTACCTTGCCTATGGGAGGTGGGGACATGGCAAATACAAGTGTTCACAATGAGGTGTGTCCATTTTCTCACTACTCTAGTTGCTAATGTGCTTTATCTTTCTTCCTTTTAGTATTGCATACTCTGCAGGGATGGTGCAGAGCACTATGAAGACAATACTCTCTTCATGTGCGCTCTGTGTCCCAGAGTAGTGTGTAGGCTCTGCCTGCAGCTGTCGCCTGACTTAGAGACCAAAGTCTTGCAAGACAACATCTCTTTCTGGTGCATTTGTTGCCACATCAAGATGGAACAAGGCAGCACCTACTTTGTGAGTTTTTTATTTTATTTTATTTTTTTGTTCATGCCTTATTGATAACAGGGTTTCTATAATGCCAACTGCCTTCCGGTCTTGGACAGGTTCTTACCCATCAATGGCGCGCTTGAGGTGTCTAAGCAAGCCAAAATTTCGGCAGCCCCAGTCATTTCATTCACCTCATCCTCATCAACTTCACAGTGGCTGGTAGCCCTATGGAGTTTGCTCATTCCTTGCTCAAGCCTTACTATACTGGTGACTGCATCCAGTATCTCAACATCTACTATGACATTGTCACTGATGCCAAGCTTCCCGCCTACTGCAGCAACATCCAGAAGATAATGAAAGGTTTGAAGAAGTCCTTTGTCTGGGAGTGTGTTGTGATTGGCATCTCTACTCACACTGATGAGGATTTTGGAGACCCTTTTACTGGGTATGAGGATGATGGCTCAGAGGGCTATGTCAGCACTCCGGCCAATGATGTGAGTTTTTTTTTTTTCTTTCATAGTGCGCCAATAAGTAACCCTTGTTACAGTTCTTGGAAATAATTCTCCAACCCTGGCAAAGTCTCATTGACACCGCCCAGGAATCCTACCTCTGGATGTTATGTTGTGGCCACCTTGTCACCAACTTGGACTCATTCCATGGCTTTCAAGAGGCTGTTGTCCGGTGAGTTTTTTTTTCCATTTATTTGACATTATCTGATGTTCCTACAGACACAAATTAACCGGTACCATCGCATTCAATGCTCCTCGGTTTCAACCCTCTTTCACCTCGCACTTGCTCATTGCGTTCACAGAGAGGGTTCTCATTGGACATTGCCCACTTCATTTAGCATTCAAGGATATGCTCGCACAAGCCTGTGACCTTGGTTGCCACTCTGACATTTATCTGCTGACACCTGTCAAGGAGGGTGCCCTCACTTGCTCTAGGTTTGCATGGGCTAATGTGGAGTTCCGTCCTTGGGGCCACTGCCTGCCTATCCAATGCAGTGGGTGTGATTGGGCTAATTCTTAGAGGTCCACCTATGTCAAAGGCAGCAAGGACAAGGCTTACATTTTTGAGTGCAAAAATGACTCTTGTAATGTAAGCCATACATTCTCTCAGCCACCAGGGTCCACAGTACTTTACTCTGTTAGGAAGAATGGTAGTACTTGGTTGGATATTCCATTGGAGACACAGTTGGCTTAATTTACATGTTTTTCTGCAATATCTGTCTTACTTTGTACTTTGCTTCATGTTATCATTGTTCTGAGTTTGAGTAATCATTTGTTTGGTGTCTGAATCTTGAGATTTGGTATATAAGCTAATGTCATTGAATTTGTGAGTCGGTCAGATTTATACTTGGGTGATTTTGTGCTGGTTATTTGAATCATGTGACCATGTTTTGATCATGTGACATGGTTTGTTGATCTGTTGTCAAGTGAGTTGGTACTGGTTACACATTCTGCAAACTTATACCAGCCTGCATTCTCAAGATTTTTGCATACAATGGCTGACTGGACACATGTATTCAAGGCTGTCTTGGATGAGCACAAGATTTCCTATGTTTCAGCTAAAGAAAACCCTGCTGAGAGGGCAAAAATCCTCAAAAGCATCAAAGATGCTATACTTGAAAGTGACCAGGTCAAGGATCCTTCGACTATGCTTCCAGTCTCTTTGTCTATATTAATCTAATTTTATAGGCTATCCATACATATTACTTGTGTTTTCTGGAAAATGATGAGGACCACGATCTTGAGCAAAAAATCATTGAGGGAGCTCATAAACTCACATCTGGTGCAGGCATCATCACTGTAGATATGGTCAAAGGCCATCAGGATGACAAGCCTCTGGATGCTGCAGCATTCAAGACTGAATTCTCTCCTTTTGATGTCGCTCAGAAGTTGTTCAAAGAAGAAATTGGGGAGTATGACAAGAAGCACCATGACACCTCTGACCTAAGGTCCATGGGGACAAGGACAAAGCTGGTCTGGTCCTGGTACAATGCCCTGTCACCAGATGTACATGAGGAGCTCAGACTTGTGGCAGAAAAGTGGAACTAGGAAGGTGCTCATTCCAACGCCAAGGACAGGTATTTTTTTAACACTACATTGTTATATTTAGGAAAAACTCATGTGTATCTACAGATACCGCAGCCGACACCAGAAGAAAATCATGGAGGACTTCATAAAGATGGCAGGAAGAACCATGGGTTTACATGTTGTGATGCTTGTAACTCATGATCAAGGGGAGGGGAAAATGCCTGGAACAACCATGTCAGTGTTATTTTTTTTCCATTGACATTACCATTGATAATCTATTGGTTTAGCTGGGAATCCTGTCCCAGGAAGACGAAGAAAACTTTTACTCTGGCTACCAAAGACAACAAGAAATGGGCTGGAGAGTTGCAAGACCAACTTGCTGACTGGCTGAATGAAGCCGAGTATAGTAAGTCTTTGATACAGTAATTTATTTAATTGCTAATGATCTAGCAACAGGCTTAGACCCTGAGGACCAATCTGACGAGGAAGATGAGAAGTTGCCCGATTTAACAGTGGAGGTAGACGATGAGGGCTATCCTTGCCTACCAACAGGCTTTGAATCTCTCATGCTCAAGAACCAGCAGAAGGTCGTATGAAAGGTATTTCAAAAGGCTTATGGTGATTCATTTCTATTTTCAAAGTACTGTATTTTTCTCACAGCTTACATTCAACAGCAGTCATCTCAAACAACCCTAGGGCTGCAGTCCCCTGGGGTCATATTACCCAAGATCCAGACCATTACCTTGACATGGACTGTGTCCCTCAGAATGTTGTCATCAAGGATCCTTCTCACCTGCAGAAGGAAGCCATCAGTATGATTTTTTCACTTTGGAAATATCGTGCTAACCATAATGAACCAATTGTCTGGTTTGTTGGGTATAAGGAAGGTGACTTCTATGATTCACTGGCTAAGAAGGGGGATGTAAGTAAAAAATCAAGGAAGAACCAAAAATATGTCGAAGTATCATCAGATGAGGACGAGGTACTGAAGAAGGCCCCCCAAGCCAATGGTTCTTCTGACGAAGAGGAAGACTTGGAAAGCCACACCCTATCTCTTTCCAATTCCTGCCCGAAATTCCATATGGGTGGTGACACAGTCAGTTATCTTCAATCCCTCTCTATCCTCCCAACATACCTTCGTCTGTTGGCCACAGTTCAAAAACTCTCCAAGACAGTATGTATAATTCACTACATTTGTGATACAGCATTAAATTTGACTATTTTTTGAAAGCAAACACCTGATCCTAAGGGCAAGGCTAGGAAGCAACATCTGCCTGTCTGGGCATCTTGGACGTGGTCTGAGGCATATCTACCTCAAAATATGCACAGTGATATTCAGGCTTCCTTTGTGGCTTTGAAGGAACTAGGCAACTATGTCATCAAATCTCGTGGTTTGGGTATGATTGTTGTCCTGGGCCTTGGACTCCTCCTTCGTGAGTGTTGCCGCACTCAGGAGTATGAAGCAGATGAGGCTGGAGATGATGTACCTCAATATTTGGGCGACTCCATCCTTGGCATTGAGGTGGGGGACAAGGTTGAAGAGGCCATTACCAGAATCCAGGTGAAGGTGGACGCAATGCTGCCAGATGGTAATGAGAAGCAGATGACAGTGGGGGAAGAAGTTCACATGAGGCATCTGGAGAACAAAAGGCAGGTGAAAGAGAGGATGGAGGCAGAGCAGGCAAAGGTGGCTGAGGATAAGAGGGTGGCTGAGGAGAAGAGGGTGGCTGAGGAGAAGAGGGTTGCTAAGGAGAAGAGGGTTGCTGAGGCATCTCAGATGACTGATCAGAGGGCTGCCACATCAAAGAAGGCAAGCAGTACTAACACTGGAGGAAAAGGGAAGGGTAAATGCCCAGCAACAGATGTGGATGATTCAGTCATGAAAAAGGTGAAGACATCTGCTCCTCCTGATCCTCCTCATCGCTCTACCTGAGACAGAGTAGCTTCAAAGAAGTTTAAGAACTGAGACATCATCATTAGCACAATACCTTAGAATTCCCTTCTTGCAGTTTGTTGTCATATACACTTGAATTTTCATGTCTTTTTGAGTAACATTGATGTTAGCACTGACAATACTTTAGCAGGATGCATAGATGGAATGACCAACCCACTGATACCTTATTGGACTATTAGCCAGCCAGTCTGTGCAGCATATAGGCCATGGCCGGCCGACCTACTGGTATTATATTGGCCTAGTGGGCCAGCTGCCCTATGCGGTATGTAGAGCAGGGGCAGCCGCCCCACTGAACACTTTTTGGGCCTTTGGGCCACCCGGTCTATGCAGTATGTAGGACATGGGCGGCCAGGCTACTGATAACATATTGACCCATTGGGCCAGCCAGTCCATGCAGTATGTGAGGCATGGGCAGCCGGTCTATCAATAACATATTGGCTCATTAAGCCAGCTTCCCTAGTCACCTGTAAGGAGTGTAGGTAGACTGTATTTTTATTTTTATTCAGTCACCATTTATATTATCCCATATAAGATAAGGAGTGTAGGTAGACCTCAATATTTATGCAGGCTGTCCTAAATGCTCTAATATCAAATGAGATTCCATACAGGAGTAGGTCTAGCCAACCTCACTCATGTAATAAAAGATATATCTCATATGGGATAGATGTAGGACCCCTGCAGGTTCATGCCTCATATAAAGAATGATATTTCTATGCTACTTATTTTAGTCACAATTTATATTATCCCATATGAGATATATCTTTTATTACATGAGTGAGGTTGGCTAGACCTACTCCTGTATGGAATCTCATTTGATATTAGAGCATTTAGGACAGCCTGCATAAATATTGAGGGTGCAGGTTGGCCAGATCTACTTCAATATTCTGGTTTCACCTATATAAGTAGCATAGAAATATCATTCTCTATATGAGGCATGAACCTGCAGGGGTCCTACATCATCAGCAAAAGATATCTTTTCTATATGGAGCATTGGCCTGTAAGGGTTCTGCATCACCAGCCTATACAGGGAGTGTAGAGATATTATGATTTGGCTGAGGCATCGGCCTGCAAGGGTCTGCATCACCAGCCTACACAGATACTGCAGAGATATCATTCTATATATAGGACACCGGCCTGCAAGGGTTCTGCATGACCAGCCTATACAGGCAGTGCAGAGATATCATGATCTAGCTGAGGCATCGGCCTGCATGGGTTCTGCATGGCCGGCCTATACAGGCAGTGCAGAGATATTATGATCTGGCTGAGGCATCAGCCTGCACGGGTTCTGCATGACCGGCCTATACAGGTAGTGCAGAGACCGGCCAGTGTCCTGTACACCTGGTTTTACAGGCCAATGTACACGTCCTATCAACAGGTTATGCAGTACCATAAGACTGAAAGGTGTGCAGTCCCAACACCATTCATAGATGTCCCTACCACTGGTCCGACCCCCTGTTTCCTGTCCGTTCCATCCCTCCTTCTCCAACAATGCACAAAGTGCATCTCAGCAGGACTAGCCCTGCTACCTCCACCCAACTCCACTCCACTTCTCCGACACTACCCCTATATCCCTACCATCCAACCCTACCTATAGCTCTGCTCCTCCGCCCTATCGGTCTGCCCAATCCTACTCCTACTCCCTCCACCATCTCTGCTTTTCCGACCCACTTGGGTCCTTCAGTTTCTCTCATGTTGCTCCACCCGACTATTGGTCCGCCCGACCGCCTTACCGGTCCGCTCCTAGACTACGAACCACTCAACTGGTCCTACCTCCTTTTAGTATCATATTGTTAAGGTTGTGCTCAAGAGAAAGACTACTCAAAGGGCTTCGGCTTCAGCTCGTGCGCTGCGCCCCTTACCTGAGTACGTGCCCTTAATTTCTGAGGGGCAGAGGGGAAGTCCAACAGAAGTCCAGGGAGTTCCAGAGGACAAACATTGGTGGAGTTCGGTGGAACTCCGGAAGGCTACTATGGACAGGTCTAAAATAGAAGCAGAACAGAGTTAGACTACCCTAAGGTAGAGCCGGAGAATTAGTCCTAAGGTTTTACCCCTAAGACTCGGAGGTGGACAAGAGATGAGACTCAAGTCTGGAGATTGCAGGAATGTGCAGAACTAAGATGATATTTGAACTAAGGAGTTCTGGAGTTTTTTTACAGGAGTTTATATACTGTAGGTATTATGTAAGTAAATCAGTCAGCACAGTAAAAGCTATGTCCGAAGCATATGGAGGGTCTATTAGTAAGTGTACAATGGATCAAGGAAATGAGGTCAGAAATGAAGTGCCAACGGACGGATCAGTAAGCAAAGCGGAAAGGTGTACAACTGATAACTGGAGAGCAGTGTTCTAAAAGGAGATAGGTGTAAGTCCGGAGATGAAAGTGGAGCGCCGGGTGGAACAGGACAGAGAACTGGACTTTCATAGGGGAGAATCCAGAATTCCAGATCCAGAGGTATGGGATATAGTGGTTGGAGAAAATAGGGGTAGTGTCGGAGGAGCAGAATAGAGTCAGGCAGAGGTAGCAGGGCTAGTCCTGCTGAAATGCACTTTGTGCATTGTCGGAGAAGGAGGGATGGAGCAGATGGGGAAACAGAGGGTCAGACTAGTGGTAGGGATGTTCACAGGTGGTATTGGAGGTGCTCGGATCCGGTATATGACACATATTTGGATTGCCAGTAATCCATATACCTGGAGGGATTATTGATCTGTTGCATACATACTGTTTTCCAAGCCCTTTCTCATATGTCTCAGTCATCTTCTAGTAATTCTGTACACTCAGCACATAGCCTTCTGCTATGCTATGCTACTTACTTAGAGCATATAAACATATGTACATCTGTCTGTAGATCTTTAGTCTGAATATTACCTTTTCTAAGCCCTGCTCTCTTGTCCTTGTTTTCTAGGGCAAAACCCTTGACAAACTCCTGTTTGCTGGCCTAGGGGATTGACTCCCTAGGTCGGATCACCTTCTCCGCTCATCCAACTTCCCATGCCTCTGCCGCCTTTCCCACACATTGGACTTGTGGCTAATCCTCTTGTACCTCTATCATCTGTGTTTCCGTTCCTACTGTGTAGCTCCAACTGCAAGTAGCCCTCTGACTCTCCCCTGTAGGGTGAACCAATCTCCACCTGAAGTTCCCGTGCTTACCTAGTAGTCCATTGGTCCTCCTTCAGAGGACCTCCACCCAATGTCCTGTCAGAGCTTGTAGAACTTGAGTCAGGTAAGGGGTGCAGCATATGAGCTGAAGCCAAGCCCCTCAGACTCTGACTTACCCCTGGGCACAGTCCTTAACAGTCATCCGGACTCCCGGCCCTCAAAACAGGTCTCTTTGCTGACCTCTCAGGAGGAAAACTGGGATGAGTAGGTTCTTGGGGCGCATATTCTGCACTGTAGAGCATGAACCACCATATATACTGTGTTTGATGATTAACAAACTTTGATATATATATTGTTCAGCTCTCATGAGGTGACGGGGGTCATCAAATGGCTGGTGTAGGCAGTTTGAACAGTGATTGCTCATACCTTGAAGTGGTGCAATTTCACACCAGTGTGGTGAAATGTGATACAATGTGTTCTTTTACACTATGCACAATGTCTGATCCCGTCTATAGATGAACACATACCCACAGACATTAATTTTACTGCTAAAGCAAGTTCATAACCATATTTATAGGCACTAGTGCGGCGAAATGTAATGCAATGTGTTTCATAACACAGCGTATGTAGGCATATGATTTCGGATCACTGCTTCTTTTAGCAGTATTGCAGATGAACACACATGGTACATGTGCAGTGTCTTGACATGTTGCATGCTGGTGGATCCACAATCTCTTGTGTCCATGACATGTGAACAACTGTTGCCCACGTGTGGTTTATGACACATTCATTGCCTTTGTATTACTCTCCATCAATGATTGCATGCTTGATGGGCTCACTTACATTTAAAATGGCAGCAGTGTGTGTTCGAGTAACATTGTACCTGTGTGGACCCCATCACATTGCAACAGCTATGGCAGACACCAAGCTTGAATCAGCAGTGGCCTTCATCAACGAGATTTGTCTCTCACACCATGGATGTAATTGCTGACCACAAAGCCAGGGCTGTCTTGCACCCAGGAGTTCATGGATGACTCAGTCATCCAACTGTGTAGAAGGGGGGCATATTCCCCTTAATTCAGAGGGCATTGGATAATGAGGATGGTATCACATTCAATAAAGAACCTGCAGTTGCACCACACAAACGTAGTGTCCCAAATGTCAAATCCTGCATTTTGACTGGCTCTGTCACTGGGGTTATGGGTGTCTGCCACAAAGACAATGAGATGGAGATGCAGGTGGACTCCACTTCATGTAACAATGGGACCCATAAACAGAATGGGAAACAAGATCGTCACTGCCTGCAGCACGCCCAGAGTATAACAACATATAAGGTGACCCAAGGTGTACCAGCTCTATGCTAACACAAGGAGATTGCTTTTGGAACAACACCCACAATTGGCATGGAACTTTCAAAATAGTGTGTTCTCTGCAGCAACATTCAACTTTGGACCGACCATGGTCACTTTGGATCACACAGATAATCAAAACTTTCCCAGCGGAATGTGCAGCATCACCGCCCTAGGTAACTATGACCCTGCAAATGGTGGTCATTTAGTTCTGTTCGACCTTGGACTCATTGTTCAGTTTCCACCTGGATCCACAATCCACTTTGCAGGAGGACTTATTAGATGGGTTGACTATGGGTTCCAGACAGAAGCTAATTTTAAGAGGGAGAGTCCTTCACTGTAGTTTGCAGCCAACCGTGGGAGGGAGGCTAGGGTTCAGGAGGCAGTGGAATATTTTTCCACTTCTAAGCATGTCAGGCCTGACATATGATATGTGACAAAATCATGTACCTGCTGGAAAGACTTTTCTCAGTGCACATAGCCACAACTTTCATGCTTGCTGTGGGCAACAGCAAGCTCCACCGCTGCAGTTATTTACCAACTTTGTCTTGTAGTGTTTTTCAGTACCACAATAAAACATCCAGTAACATTGAGTTCTCGTTTTTGAGGACTAGGTAGAATGATTAAGGATACATGAATGTATGAGGACTTTTCAGGTATATTGGCTCCTCCTGCTCATCTAGGGGCTGAGCAGCATCACTCCCAGGTCAAACATGTTCATGATTAGTTGATGAATTAATATATGTCATGGCAGATTAACCCATCAAATGTGCCTTCCACAATGTTACATCACTTGATACTACATGACGTGTATTGTCTGAATGCAACAAATCTCCTACAAGTTGGATTGACTTTAGTACAGTGAACCATAAGTCTGTACTTCATTTTTATACAGGGTTGAAGCATTCACATGGGGATGCGACAAGAATCAACTACAAGCTTAATACAGTACATGCTATGTGTCGTTAGAATGTGAGCCAAAAAAAAGTAAGTACTGGTGACCATCACAGGAGGGACTTCAAGGACTTGTGTGCCTCCAACCTGACTCCAACTGTGCTAATGTGTGCTATGAAAGATTCCACGTGTGCCTTGAATGGGGATGGAGCCGAGATCATGGAGATACTCAGCAACGCCTGACTGATACTCTGGGGCAGCATACACTTTCCTCAGCAATGACGAATACATCTCCAAGGTCTCACCCCTTGAAACATACCCAGCCAAACCAATGTGGACAGCCTGGTGTTCCATCCCTAACCTGACACTAGAAGAACTGGCAGAAGTGTGAGAGCCACCCGGTGCTGGCAGAGGAATGCAGATGGAGGTGGTGGAATGACCTCCATCGTCCATTGGAATTGGGATAGGTGCTGCAGCTGGGGGAGCAGGAGGGCCCAAGTCAGCAGGACTTGGGCAGCAACATCTCCAGCTGGAACAGGTGGAAAAACAGGAGGAAGCCTGATGGCACCCTCAGCAAAAGCACCACCAGTTGCAGCTCCACCTTAGGAGGTAGAACATGTTAGTTATCGACGGTGGGTTAAAAGTATGGTGTTTCCTCACTGAAAGATGTTGTGGATCCATCACTGGACCTTGAAACATCCATGGCATGCTTGCCTTTATTGTTGATGGACTGCGCCACCGCCGAACACACTGGGAACTGCACATGAGAGGCAGAAGTAATCTCAAGAGAGTGCTACTGCTTACCCTGGTAATCGACCCACATTGGCCCTGCATCCTGCAACACCTGCTTGACCGTCTTTCCCTTCATGCTTACCTCATTCACAATCCAAGTCCACCCATCATGGAGACCTTTGATGTCAGAAATTCTTCTCAAGCCCTCCCACACGATCAAATCTTCATCACTCTAGTTGGCTTCGGCGTCCTCATACCCCCAGTGCAAGTATCCCTTGAGGAGTAATTCAGTTTCAAAGGTGTTGAAAGGATTGTTGGGCACTAGAATAAAACCAAATGTTGATATATGTCATAAGGAGACGATGGAGATGCCTGTGCCTGTGCTTTGCCAAGGGCCAATCGGCCTTCCCTCAAATAACCAGATCTTCTTGAATGATTCCACAAACTCCCTCCAAGTCATCTCCCCCCTCCAGAGCCCAGCTGCGTTCTGCACCACCAAGTCCCAATCAAGTTTGACGCACAAGATATTGGTGAGACATTTGATGTTGGTGAAAAATTCATTGATGTGCTCATACTCTTCTTGGTCAGTGGACAGTGCATAATGCACAAAGTGGACAGGCTGGTCCCAAAAATCATGTCCTGGTGGATTTGAAGAGCTTAATACTTACAAGTAGTAATATAGAATCATGGTCTCACCTGCAACCATCCACTTGAACTGTTTCTCTGACCAGTAGAGAGGAGTTGGTGCATGGCCCTCATGCCAGTGTTCTGGTAATTCTGCACCTTTGTTAGGTACCATGCCGGCTCAAGAGGCAGAGGGGTCGGGGCTTGGCTTCAGCTCTTGTGCTGCGCCCTTAGCCAAGTACATGCCCTGAATTTGGAGTGGGTCCAATGTTGTCCGACGATAGGATGAGTGGTCCGCTTTGGTCCGCTTTGAGGGTCAGGAAGTAAGAGCTACTAGCGGCGGGCCAACTAGGAGTGGAGCAGAGAAGGTGGGGAGTGATGCGGAGGGTGGATAGGAATAGGGGGAAGGTTTGGTAGGAGCGGGGAAAGTGGAGGATAATACAGAGGATGGGGAAAGGGATAAGGGGAATATTGGTAGGGGCGGAGAATTAAGGGGAGCGCTTAGAGCACGGCTCTAAGTCAGAGCGGAGGGTCAGAGGGTCGGAGGCAACAACAAGTTGAGACTTGTGTCCAGAGGAGGCAAGGTCCTACTGAGAATTCTCACAAGAGGTAACTGCGAGAAGATAAGTAATATTAAGACTAAGGAAAATATCTAAGTACATGATATGTTATATACTTCTATGTATGAGGCAGTGACCAGGATAACTATGTTGTAAAGCTATGTACCAAGGATATAATTTGTAAGTACTTACACAGGTGAAGACATAAGTCGGAGTGGATATCAATATGTACGCGTCAGATCAGTGATTGAGCGGTAATAGGAATTACTGGTGATCCGGAAGTAAGGGTCCATGTACCGAAGGGGAAAGTATATATCTAAAAGGAGAAAGAGGTCCAGTTGAATGGAGATGTTATGGAAGGGGACTGGTTGAGCGGTTTAGCGGAAGTGTAGGGGCGGGATGCGGACGAAGGGGAGGATGGATGGAGTGGGGGGGGTCGGAAAGTGGAGCAGATATCAATATCAGAGTAGTCAGATCAGGTATATGACAACCTTCCACATATCAAGTCTCAAAGAATTTACTGTGATTCTCTAGTTTGGCATACGCATGTGGCTTGAGGATGTTGTTGAATGTTGTCTCAAAGTTTACAAGACGGCCTTGGGTCCATCCCTGTGGGCACGTCATAACCTCCAGACCCTCATTGTCCTCGTCCCAGCCTTCTTCTGCAGAATTCACCTGTAAGCAATGGAAGAATATATAGGTCAATATGATGGACTTACTGAAAAATGCTTCATTTTCTGAGCAGTGGGTCTGCAGTCAAGTGATGCAATCCTTCTTTGTTGGCCTCTCTGAAATCCTCGTTCAGCCAGTCTTGAAGAGACCTAACCTTCCATTTGTCCAGAATCAGTACCTGCTCCTCACCGGGCTTGATATTGTGACGCAGACCCACCAGTTGGTCCACCGCAAGGAACCTGGCCTGCATGTGTGCGACAAGCATGACCCCACAGTTCTGTTTGCATGTCTTGGTCATCTGCTTCTACTTGTTAGTGCCCCGCTTGGTCTCCTGATCCCAATGTTTCCATCCCATAGTGAACAAGACTACATTGTAGCATAAATCTAACCATATTCCCTGGTACCTACTTGGCAGTGGTACATATTCTATTGACTTCCCGCCTTTATAGACAGGTACCCAGCAAATGTCATACTGCCCACCATCTGGATCTATAGCATTGATATCCTCTGGGGGCCCATAGGTGAATTGGATGTGAAGGTTGGTAAGGGTGTCCTCCATGATGAATTCTGCATGGGTAGTCGGGATTTCAAAGGATCTGATGGCATTTGCCAGTACTTTTGGCGGCCATGGTCACTTCTTTGATGCGGCACTCATGATGGACAATGCACACTTCTTGATGGTTGAGCTGCCTTTAGACTTGATGGTTTTTTTGGGCTTGTTGGAAGAGCCCTTTGGGAGGTGTTTTGTATTGGATTTGGTGCATGCCATAATGGTGTATAAAGATGCGGATTGTGGTACCAACACAGGTTGTAGGGTTTAAAACACATCCCAAATTTGGTGTTGTTTGGTTGTGGCTGATGTGTGCTTTTCTATAGTGCTGTGGGTTAGTGGACCACCAACTTTGTGCAACACTTTTATAAAATTCAAAAGACAAGAGGAATATTTTTCCTCTTGTAGAAATGCTCTATTTACTTGTCTGAATCGAGCCTCTAGAGAGATTTGTCATTGCTAAAATTCTGAGTGAGATAAAATCTGAAACTGCTACTGATTTGGCATCTAGTCAAATACATGAGCGACAGCCTTTGGAATGCACCTGTGAGACTTGTATTTTGTCAAACTGAACTTCTTTACATGAGCTTCTGCCTTGTTTGTGCCAAGCCCCAATCTGCATGTCTCTGTCATATACCAGATCCGACCGCTCCGATACTGATATCTGCCCCGCTTTCCGACCCCCTCTGCCCCATCCATCCTCCGCTCTGCTCTATCACAAAAACCTGCATTCCGCCCTATGCTTCCGCTCAACCGCTCAACCGGTCCCCTTCCATAAACCTCTCCATTCAACTGGATCCCTTTCCCCTTTTAGACATATACCTTCGGTACATAGCCTCTTACTCCCGGATCACTGGTAATTCCTATTACCGCCCAATCGCTGATCCGACGTGTACATATTGATATCCGCTCTGACTTATGTCTTCGCCTATGTAAAGTACTTACAAACTATATCCTTGGTACATAGCTTTACTACATATTTATCCTGATCACTGCCTCATATAGAAGTATATAACATATCCTGTACTTAGATATTTTTCCTTAGTCTTAATATTACTTGTCTTCTCGCAGTTACCTCTTGTGGGAATTCTCAGTAGGACCTTGCCTCCTCTGGACACAAGTCTCAACTTGTTGTCACCTCCGACCCTCCAACCCTCCGCTCCGACTTAGAGCCGTGCTCTAAGTCTTTCCCTTATTACCCCGCCCCTAACAATATCCTCCTATCACCCCTTTTCCTATCCTCTACATTATCCTTCCGCCATCTCCGCTCCTATCAAATATCCCCCTGGTTTCTACCCACCCTCCGCATTGTTCCCCGCCTTCTCCACTCCGCTCCTAGTTGGTCCGCCGCTAGCAGCTCTTACTTCCCGACCCTCAAAGTGGACCTAAGCGGTCCACTCGTCCTATCGTCGGACAACATTGGATCTGCTCCAAATTCGGGGCACATACTCGGCTAAGGGCGCAGTGCAAGAGCTGAAGCCAAGCCCCGACCCCTCTGCCTCTTGAGCCAGCACGGTACCTGCCAGTCTCCATCCACCGGTACATGCAGTATTCCCAACAACGAATGACCTCCAGGTTCACAGACTCCATGGCCTTCAGCATATTCTCCTTTAGTGTGTCATATGTGTAATCACAGTTTTCACAGAGATACCTCTTCACAACTCCCCAAAAGAACTGGATAAAATTGAGTTCACAATGAAACTTTGGTAATAAAATGCAAAGGTGGCCAGCTGCTTCAATGACTTCCTGAACAAGAAATTTCTGCTGCTGGAAGTCAGGCTGATGTATGAGGATTCATTTATTGCAGCAGTCTGTTTTATCCGAGTCACATTTGCTTGGGCATTGTCCTAGCAGATTTTATCGGTAGAGACCACGTTCCATCAGGATGTCTCCTGACTCATGCACAAGCAGCAGCAGCTTTTTTTTAAAAAAAAAATCAAGTTTATTGTCCTTTGGGATCATAGACCCTATGTTGGACATAGCCCTTTGCACGGGGGGCTTACTCCCACCTATCTATCGTGTATGTATTTGTAGTCTATCATATTATCATTGGAAAACAAGTACTCCATCAGCTTGTTGTCAGGCAAAGGCCGACGCTGAGTTTTGTACAAAGGGAATGATGTGGTGTGAGAGGTCGTGTTCCGATGCTCTCTCTTTTCCTGCATTTCTTGGTATCTCGTCCAGCGAGGGTTCCCTTCAGTCTCGGAGGTGATTAGATTTGGTGTTTATTGTAATGGTGTATTTTGATGGTTTTTAGTGTAATTTTGAGGAGGTTGATTATGCGGGTGGTATCTAGTAGGGTATTGTGCAGGTGTGTGAACTTGTTGATACATATTTAACTATCCGAAATCTCACCAAACATTGATTTGAATCTGCCCATGGAGTTGATGTATCGCATGAGGGGTTGAGTTGCTTTTTCGGTTGTGAGGATATATGAGATGGAGGTTGCTTGTTGGCGAAGTGAGTTGGCGAGGAAGTGGCGTTCCCTGGCATATTGGGGGCAATTGAATAGGTAGTGATGGACGGTTTCGTCTACGTTCGGACATAACAGGCAGTGTGGGGTCCTGCTTTTCCCGATTCGATTCAGATGATGGTTAAGGGGGAGGTGGTGAGTGCGGAGCTGTGTGTATATGCTTGTTTGTCGTTTCGAGAGATTGGCGACAAGTTTGATGAATTTGTTTGAGGGTAGGGACGGGTCTATGGTCTTGGTTCTTGCGTACCTGGGTGATCTTTCCCAGCTTTTGGCCCATCTTCTTTGCAGTGCCGTCGTCATGCCATTGCTTCAATGCTGATGTGCTATCTGGTAGGGGTTCTTTTTGGAGATAGGTGGGGAGGCAGTGTATTGCGCTGTTTGCTGCTATGTCCGTTAACTTGTTGCCTTCTACTGCAGCAGCAGCTTTATTGTGCTTTGAAGTCATGGAAATAGACAAATCATTATGAGACAATGTGTACATTTGTTACTTGTTCATTCTGTCACCCATATGTACATACTACATGAAGTTCCTAGTAGGAGAGTGTAAAGACCCGAAGATTCCATGTCTAAATTGAGGGTAAATCAAAAAATTTAGGCCGATGTGGCATCTGCACAAAGTTAGCTGGTGGTACACTAGTGAATGGCAGCATAGTAAACTCCACCCCAGTCCTACTTGACCAATGATAGGCTATCTGTGCATTGGAGGGATTGTATGTAGATTTACCTCAATCACTACATGAAGATAGGCAGCAGTCCTGCACCAACTTAATCTTTAAGCCAGGAATGTAAGGGGTAAAATTACAAATATGAATCCTAAATGTCCAGAGGTGTCTACTAAGCAGGAGACCTAGCAATGAGAGGATCAGTCCCTGTTGCAGTGGAAAAAAATAACATACAGGTAAGCGATGTGCACCATAGACGCCATGTGGGGCACCATAGAATGACAGAACCCAATGACCCCTGAGTCACAACGTAGGGCCTGGCTAGACCCAGCGTAAGCTCTGCAAGGGAGTGAAGGGATTTGATGACCATTCTGTGCTGGCGCCCTACAATGCCAAAATAACATGCCAAGCAAGGCAGCCCCAGCAGCAACCCCTCCCAGGCAGTACAGCCTAGGAATACCATGCCCTGTAAAGGGCATGAGAGGGGGGTGCTGCCCTGCCTGACATAAATCCAGAAGTACACCAGAAGTGCCTGCTATGACAAGCAGGCGTATGAACAGACAGTTAGGGCTGCAGAAAACAGACTGAGAGAACAAAAATGGAGAGGGAGGGCCTACTATGAACTCAGGCCCCAGAGGCAACCCCTCCCAGGGCAGTACAGCCTAGGAATGCTATGCCCTGTAAAGGGCAGGGGGGGCTGCCTTCCCACCTGACATAACTCTGGAAGTACACCAGAAGTGTCTGCTATGACAAGCAGGTGTATGCACAGACAGTTGGGAACAAAGTCTAACATGGATGGTGGTAGAAAGAAGAAAGGAGAGCATGACAAAAATAAACAAAAAATCAACCTTGACCAAACAAAGGCAAATTCACCACAACACACACACACAATCATTAAGCATATAACAATATCAATTATCAAATGACACCTAGTATGGCAGTTTATAAATTAAGTAAACTACATAGAGATGGAGAGGAAGAGATCGAAATGAAAGAGATTTAAAAAAGGAGAGATGTGACAATACTACCTAGGATTCTGAGCATCAGTGTGGCAGTCTACACCTGCTACTCATAGTTGACTCAGCGACTTTGAGTGACTACTACTTAAGGTCTTTCTGCCCCCATACCCTGCGAATGCAAACTGGATTACCATGACCAGAAACTATACTGGCATCACTTGGATATCAGATAATGAAGGACAATCTACAGCCAGCATTGCACTATGGGCAACAACCAGTGTACCCATCTGTTTATCAAGTATAGACAGTTCCATGTCCAGTGCAGAGCAGAGACTAAGGAAGCTTGAACTTTTAGAGTGTGGCCTGTGACAGCAATACACATTGAGCAGGGAAGGCCCAGGAATGACATTACCAGTGTACCATATATACCGCACTTGGTTGAGTTCCACCCATTCGTTTTCTGAAAAACGACGGAGTAATGAGATGCAAGGGAGAAAGGTGAACTTGAACTTGACTCCAATTATTTTATCAATGGTTCGCCACAGCACATCATAGATTAGCTTTCAAACTCTGGTTGGCACCTAAGGGCTCACAGCTGTAACCTAACTGCCCATAGCGCAACTGCATAGCACCAAGCCGTGAAATATATGTGTGTAATTTGTAATGTGTATCAGCTTTAACACCGTCCGTGTTTAGTTCAAGTGTGTGAAAAATGAGACACAATGACATAGTGATGAACAATGGAATTGGACCAAACATGTGCTTACTCATCCAATCACCACATATGTGGGACAAATCAGCACATATTGTGGCCCTGTGGATCAGGTATAAAACTAGCATGGCCAGTAACACGACCTTCTCTGCTTGCGTCCTTCATTCATCTACAACATGCCTCCTAAAAGAAAATCTACAGCAGGTGGCCAATTGGCAGGGATCTCTCGCGCAGGGCCGGGAATGGTAGAGATCAGCTTGATGATCCCCCAGCCTTCCACCACCATCCACCAATCGTCCAATGCACCCATGTCCCATGCCATAAACACAGGTAACTACTGTCACTTCTGTTGTGACCACATTGAAGCTCCGTACTCCCATGAATGCATTGAGTGTGGAGGAATAATGTGCCAGCATTTTGTGCCTCACAGCAGTGGTTGCATTTATTTCAGGACCATGGACACCAGCAAGCCATTCTTGTGCCCAATTTGCTGCAGGATGGGAGATGGTAAGGATGCTGTGCTCCCATACACTGTGCTGAGCTATTAGATCAGGCAGAAGGTCAAGATGACCTGGCCCATGGTAGTGGTAAACCTTAGCCTGGAATCCATGAAGGACAACTACTTGGGATTGACTGTCAGGTGTGATATTGACAATCACTACAGGGATAATAAGGACAATGTAGGTTGAACCAATCCATCTGAATGACCATGCTGAACAAACCTCATTCACAACTATTCATTGAAAGCTTGCACATGCGCAGAAACACACATGGGCATGAGTCTAGGAAGCTTGTTCCCAGCATTGAGTTCGTGCAACGTAACACCAAAGCTGGGTTTCCACCCAACACCTTTGTCATCATTGACACCCATTCTGATAAGTACAGTGGAATGCTCCAGCACACTGGAGGACACAGTGGAATGCTCCAGCACACTGGAGGACACAGTGGTGGCACCAATACCACAATCACAGAAATTACTGCTGCATACTTAGGTGCTGAACTACTGCAAAGCATGGGTGATGCTGTTAGGTACCGTGCCAGGCTCAAGAAGTGGAGGGGTTGGGGCTCGGCTTCAGCTCTTGCACTGCGCCCTTAGCCGAGTATGTGCCCCAAATTTGGAGCAGGTCCGACATTGTCCAATGGTAGGACAAGTAGACCACTTTGGTCTGCTTGAGGGTCAGAAAGTAAACACTACTAGCAGCAGGCCAACTAGGAGCGGAGGGGGGAAGGCGGAGGATAGTGCGGAAGGTGGATAGGAGCAAAGGGGTTTATTGGTAGAGCCAGAAAAGCAAGGGAGAAGACTTAGAGCACCGCTATGAGTCGGAGCGGAAGGTTGGAGGTGACAACAAGATGAAACTTGTGTCCAGAGGAGGCAAGGTCCTACTGAGAATTCTCACAAGTAGAGACTGCGAGAAGACAAGTAATATTAAGACTGAGGGAAATAAGTGTGAGGCAGTGATTAGGAGACTTATGTTGTAAAGCTATGTACCAAGGATATAGTTTGTAAGTACTTACACAGGCGAAGACATAAGTCAGAGCGGATATCAATATGTACGCATCGGATCAGTGATCAAGTGGTAAGAGGAGTTACTGGTGATCTGGAAGTAAATACTATGTGCAAATGGGGAAAGTATATACCTAAATGGGGCAAGGGGATTTATAGTAGAATGGATGGTGCAGAAGGCAACTGATGAAGCAGTCGAGCAGAACCGTAGAAGCAGATGCAGAAGCCGACTGGGTTATGCGGAGGGCAGATGGAGCGGAGATGGTAGGATAATGGGGGAAGTAGGATGTCGGGCGGAACAGATATTAATATTGGCAGAGCGGTTGGATCAAGTATATGACATATACCGGAGGGTTTGCTCTGTCACATCCTTTGCCTGCTACTACCTTGTAAAAATGTTGCTTGTTCATTGGTATGTCATGTTCCGTCCGCTGGAGATTGTTGGACTGAAGTTTTATTTGATGTTAAGAACTCCTGAATTGCTGTGCCTACTTTATCATATGTCAGATTGTCTGGGACATGAACTTGGAGAATCTGTTTGAAGATGCTGTTGTCCCAGGTTGCGCACTCATCCTTGGCCAGTGCCTTTGCAAGGAGTATCACCCACCAGACCATTTTTGACATTGCCATTGAGTCATCCATCTCCTGCTCAATTGCATCCATGTACGACTTACGGTTGGTATGGTCATGTGATGTTTGAGTTTCGATGCATGACAAGACAGAAGACTTAGAGTGAATGGATGATGAACCCCAGTAAAGACCCAACATGATGGGATCGGGTGCCAATGGACGGCATCTGAAAAATTCTTCTTGGCTAGGCAATTTCCCAGGCTAAACAGAATCCACTTGAGTGCATCCCATATATTACACGATGGGGCAGGGTTTTCCATGATGATATCAGATTTTCACTGTAATTTACATATGTGACCTGATTCAATCATATTTATGATAGTCAAACAAATGGGATGTATTGTGACGACAGTGGACAAGATCTGATTTTCATCGTAGTTTACATATTTCACCCAATTCAAGCATATTTATAATAGTCAAGCAAATACAATGTATTGTGATGACAGCAGACAGGATTGGATGACATGGGATGTTACAGTGCAGTTGTCATATCCTGTACCTCCGGATCTCCCCTACGAAAGTCCACTTCCCTCACCCTATTCTCCATCCTGTTATTCCGCCTGGCACTCCACCTTCATCTCCATACTCACCCCTATCTCCTTTTAGAATAGCTATTGCTCCAGCTACCAGTTATGCTGTTTCTGCTATGCTTACTGATCCATCCATTCTTACTTCATTTCCGACTTCACTGCTTTGATCTGTTATACACTTACTAATAGACTTTCCCCATGCTTCGTACATAGCCCTTACTTTGCTGACTGATTTACTTACATGATACCTGCAGTATATAAACTCCTGTAGTACTCCGGTACTCCTCAGTTTGAATATCATCTTAGTTCTGCTCATTCCTGCTTCTCCGGACTTGAGTCTCATCTCTTGTCCACCTCCGAGTCTTAGGGTTAAACCTTAGGACTAACTCTCCAGCTCCACCTTAGGGTAGTCTAAACTCTGTTCTGCTTCTACTCTGGAGTTGTCCATAGTAGCCTTACCCTATTCTCTCATAGTCTTCTGGAGTTCCACTGAACTCCCCCTACGTCTGACCTCCAGACTTCCCTGGAATTCCATCGGACTTCCCCTCTGCCCCTTGGAAATTAAGGGCACGTACTCAAGTAAGGGGCGCAACACACAAGCTGAAGTTGAAGCCCTTTGAGCACGACCTTAACAGCAGTCAGGCATTACTGTAAATAGCAGGGCGGGGGTAAAAATGCGTGAAAGCGGGGAAAAAACATGCAGGCAGGCAATGAAAAAGACATTCAATGCAGGGGAAGAACCCTTTGTCTACGTCCCTGCGCTCTGCAACCACTCTGCATCAGCCTTCTACTTATCTTGCTGTGCGGTCATGAGTGCTGCTCAATACACACAGAATTCTTTGGTTGTTCCACTCATCTCATTGACCTGCTTCAGCCAATACCATGCGCATAAGTTTCTGCATGACAAAGGTTAGTGTGAAACATTAAGAGACAGGCATACTAATACTTACTGAGTGTTCTATGTGGCACCTGGTCACATCTTCTTCTTTCCCTCTGTTTTTGCAGCTGACTTGTTGTTGGATATCCTTGGTCCATCGTCATTTGGCTGCTTGATTGGGCTAAGTGCTGGGGCAGTGACTCTCTTGGCAATTCCGTTAGGTCCGAAAATAATGGTGCTTTGTAGCGGTGTAGTTAGCAAGGACAAGTATGCAGTATGAGGTACTTACAGTGGATCCTGCAATGTGAAATTGCATGAGTATTGAGCAGTGGTTCCAGAAGAAAAATCCATGTTGCTGGTGGACATGGTGGTAGCAGAGAGACATCTGTTGGGAATATGGTGAGTGTTTGGGATGTGTTTGACGACACAGAGTTGTTCACGTGAGCAAAACATATCTGGACTTCAATGAAAAATATGCAAATTACAATGTCAGTGTCTAAGTGTGGTGGGCTTGAAGCTGACATCTACTTGCTGGCAGTTGGTTTACTGTGCCACTGTAAAGAACACTACAGTTAGTCAAGAAATTTGTAAAATGTTTGATCTTACCCTTGCATTGGGACAATGTCAACAAAAATGACATGATGCGCAATGAGAACAACACAGAACGATATGATAGACAACAACAACAACAACAACAACAACAACAACAACAACAACAACAACAATAACAACAGGAACGATGTGATGCACAACAAAAACAATACGTGCAATGCGTCTTCATCGGAAATCTCAGAGCTCATCATGTTTACTACTATGTAATTACAGAATTATCATATTTCCCCTGTCCTCATCGTGTTCGGTCTTTACTGGGGATGAGCTAAGACACAAATTGTGCACATAAATCATGTTCTTGTAATGTACAACATTGAATATTCACTGTCCTCCACTCTGGTTTGGCTGTCATATTGCTCAACAGTAGGAGCTTGCAACCGACATCTCAAACACCAATGCACGCCAATATCACCCACCACATTGTTTGCAACTGACAGCATCTGCTGTGGCACAATGTGGACGCGTCTTGATAATTTGCGCCCACAGTTGATAAAAACCTATTGTTTTCTATTTTAGTTGACCTTCAAGAGAACTTAATCCTTCAACCCAATATCACCCAACCCTTCAGCTTCTACAGCTATATACCATGCCTCTCGCTGACCGTCGCCTTGATTGATCTTACATCCACCTTCCTGGGTATCAAGAATGCGTTACAGGTCCCTTTCATTCCCTAGGCATTTCCTTGGGTAATGGGTCTTATGCGTCGGCTTGGGGAGCTCAAGACCATGGATCTGGATGCCTGCTGTGTATGAAGGATATTGACAGGCACAAGATGGTGGAGGAGAAATCAGAAGGCATCATTGCAATAGAGCTTGAAGTCTACCGGCACATGGCCTCCTGGGAGAAGGAGTGTGACAGAAAGGCATTCCTCATGCAATTAGAGATGTGTTTTTTCAACACACAATAACATCTATTTTGTCATGGTATGTGCTCCCCCTGCCCCAACAGTTTGAGCGACTTGACTTTGTGCATACATTAGGACTTGATGGTTTTTGACCTCCAGAAGCTCATGGCTGATGAGCCTGAATTCAGTTTCGAGAACGCTCCTAGATTGAGCACTCAGATGGTGAGCAGGTGTTCCTGACTATGTAGTATGCAATCCCTGACGCAACTGTTTTTTGAAGGCCCTTGGTATCAATGCTCTTCACAGCATGGGCATCATACACCGAGACATAAAGCCAGACAACATTCTGATAGATTCCCACTACAACGTCAAAATTGCAGATTTTGGGGTCTCCCATCTGCACGGGATGCCTTTGGAACCAGGGGAAGGGTATATGTTGGTCTATGTGGGATCCCCCGCATATATGGCACCTGAAGTAATGTTTAACAAGGGTGACAAATACGGATGCACGGTAGACTGGTGGTCTTTTGGATGCATCCTTTATGAGCTCATTTCTCCAGGGCACAAGGCAGGTGTCCTATATTCCTTTATTACAGCACAACTAAAGCTTTTAATCAGAGGCTCTTCATCAGGTTGGATGAGATAGATGCCTATGTCAAGTCATCCACTTCCAAGGTGTTAGAGGAGCTCAACCCATGCGTGGGTAGCTTAGTGTCGATGGTAATGTTCTATATCATGTTCCTTTTCAAACCTGCTCACTTACATGCCACGATAGCTGCTCGAACCCATTGACTGCCTGTGATATGAATTTGAAGGCATCAAGTCACACCCATGGTTCACGATCAACGGCATGTCAGAATTTGACAATGCTGCCTATTGTGGTTAGTGATTTCTGAGTTGTTTCTGAGGAGTGCGCTGAATATTTATTGCAGCCATTCAACACTTCCAAATCAAGTTCATACATGGAGAAGATCAAGATGAACTTGATGAAGAGCCCCTACATCCTGTGCAGGTGCAGTGGCAGAATTTTTGGCCGCCGGCTCAAGAGGCAGAGGGGTCGGGGCTTGGCTTCAGCTCTTGCGCTGTGCCCTTAGCTGAGTACATGCCCCGAAATTGGAGCAGGTCCGACGTTGTCCGACAATAGGACAAATGGACCACTTTGGTCCGCTTTGAGGGTCGGGAAGTAAGAGCTGCTAGCGGCAGGCCGACTAGGAGCGGAGTGGAGAAGATGGGGGTTGATGCAGAGGGTGGATAGGAGCAGAGGGACAAGGGAGGATATTGGATAGGGGCAGAGTATATGGAAAAGACTTAGAGCTCGGCTCTAAGTCGGAGCGGGGGATCGGAGGGTCGGAGGTGACGACAAGTTGAGACTTGTGTCCAGAGGAGGCAAGGTCCTACTGAGAATTCTCACAAGGTGTAACTGCAAGAAGATAAGTAATATTAAGACTGAGGAAAAATATCTAAGTACATGATATGTTATATACTTCTATGTATGAGGCAGTGACCAGGATAACTATGTAGTAAAGCTATGTACCAAGGATATCATTTGTAAGTACTTTACATAGGAAAGACATAAGTCGGGGCGGATATCAATATGTATGCGTCGGATCAGTGATTGAGCGGTAATAGGAATTACCGGTGATCCGGAAGTAATGGTCTAAGTACCGAAAAGGAAAGCATATATCTAAAAGGGGAAAGAGGTCCAGTTGAATGGAGATGTTATGGAAGGGGACCGGTTGAGTGGTTGAGCGGAGCAGATACAAACGATGATCAGGTGGAGCGGAGGATGAATGGAGCGGAGGGGGTCGGAAAGCAGAGCGGATATTGATATTAGGGCGGTCAGATCAGGTATATGACAAAACATGTAGATATGATACTATAGAATTTATTAACCATATCCCCACGTTAACCCCAGGCCCCTGACCCTGATGGATGGCAATATGAGTTCCTTCCCATTACACAAATCATTGTTACTTCCTATGTTCCCTCTAACCATCGAAGCAATACAGTCACATCTAACTACTTACATTTTCATATCTTATGTACGTTACTGGATTTACAGCTGAGGCGTCATTTTAATCAGCAGTAGTACTTTCTGTGCCCTCAATAGTGATATCCAGTCAAGAGACATGTATGGACAAAAGAGTCCTTCAGCACCATGCTAAACACAGGAGCAAGAACTTCATGCAAGGTGTTATACCCTAGCGAAGGACCCAGGTGGCCAATAAGGATGCACACATTGGTGTGAATAGAAGCTTCAGGTTCTGCTTGGAGGCGGGAAAGGTAGTGAAGTCGATCATCATTGAGTATGCTGCAAGGTAGCTGTATATGTCATCAATAGTAGGATGATAGCCTGAATGGTTGCTTTGTGAATGACAACTACTGTGTGGGCTGATACTCAGGGGACCTGGACATGGCAGCATCCATGACAACATCCTCCATTTCGATGTTTTGCTGTGCCTCTTCCCTCACTCGTTCAAGCTCCTTTTCCTTCCTTTTTTCCTCGATGTATGCCTCCAACCAAGCTGCCTGTGCCTGCAGTTCCTTAGCATGTACACGATACCCTTCTTCAGAGTTCCAGAGGTGTTCGTGGTATGGAACCTTTGTCTCTATCACAGATTGCTCCTCCTCCTTCCCTTCAGGCCGCCCCTGCTGTGTTGATGGTCCCACTGATGGTCCCAATTCCTTGTCACTAACCTCTACCAGGAGTGGTTGAGCAATCTGATCTGCCAATGTCAGAAAGAACCATCTAGCTCTCTCATAGGTAGGGTCAGGGTCAGGAATGCTGAGCTGATGTCCAAAGACATTGTGTTTGATGGTGTTGATGGCGCACAATCTGCATGAAGCCGAGTCGTTCTGGTGACTGTGCAGCAACTCATATCCAGCATTCTTAAACCTCCCACCAAATCATTTTGTGAACCACCACTGCAGCTTGTTAGTGATCTCCTGGATTCCGATGTGTGCATCAAGAGAGTCCCCTATGTTCAAGTTGGCTTAGGCATTGTAACTTACGTGTAGATGTAGGTACTTACTGTAGCTGAAAGATTGCTTTTCAAAATTGATTTCCAATGTGATGTAGTGATCGCTGACATGGATCGGGGTATAAAGATTCCTTAATGTCTTTGCGTTATGTTCTAGAGTGCACAGGAAGCTGCGTGGCTGGTCATGATGTGTGATGCTTTTGATGCTGTGGATGGCGTCAGAAAACCTGGTGTTCATGATCACTATGTTGGGCTGTTTGTTTGTTCTCCCAATGGCAGACACTTGGCCATGTATTGGCCCATTCCATGGGAGAATGTCCAGCTGCCTCACTACCGTGCGGTAGTGTTCTGCATCACCCCCTTCCTGTTTGCTCTGTAGCCATGCCTTTCCTTTTGCCCATTGAGACCTCGTGCGATGGATCTTGTGCATCACCTGCCAGAATTGCATGACCCACATAGGTAGTAGGGTAGTGTGTGTGCAAGGATCATGAATGGATTGCATCCCATTCAACAGCTCCTGTCCAAAGCTTTCATGAAGGCCTATTACTAACTTGTGGGGAGGAATGGGGTTGTGATGTTTCAACTTGCGATTGGGAGTGTCTGGATCATAGGAGAGCCCACATTCGGGAGGCCAATCAGTGATTTGTAGAAGGTTGAATTTAAGTAGATTGACAACAGAAATATTGTAGGCAGGGAGCAGTGGTGCTATCCATTCCTCTGGATAGGTCAAAACTGACATGCAAAGACTGTCCAGATCCTGAGACAGTGGCAGCTTGGGGAATTCTCGGCCTTGCCCGATCCATTGGTGAGTGACATCAAGGAGATGTAGAAGTTTCTTGTCTGGCACTTGGCGAAGGAGGCATAAATGCTTTGAAGGGTACACTAACAGTGAAACTTCTATTTCCTTGTTGTCATCATCCTTGTCATCGATGCTGTTCTCATCATCATCAAAGTAGAGGGCGATGTTGCCTGTGTCTTCTTGGAAGAATGTTGTGGGACGGTCCAAGCATTTGAGGTGGCTGATTTCGCTAGGATTGCCCGTGATCTCCAATGCTGAATTACCTTGATCACTGGTTATGAATGTACGGGGGCATTGTTTTTGCCCCTTAAATGCTGGTGCCTGTCCATGTGGCCAAAACTTGTCCATCAGCCCAATTCCCCATACCACTAACATGGGAAGGATTAGACAACAATGGACATTTAAGTGATTGGCATACCGAAATTTGGCAACATTACAGGCACTTTCTTGTGAGGGAGAGGGGCAGTGTCCTGCCTGGCTTGGCTTCCTGGCTTGAGAGGCATTAGGTAGTTGGAAGTTGTAATGAGAAAGCCAGTCAATTGCTATGTGTTCGACAATGCAAAGATAAAGTAAGGTCAACCACGATGTGTTCGACAATGCAAAGATAAAGTAAAGGTCAGCTGTGATGCATTCAACAATGCAACAGTAAAGTAAAGGTCAACCGCAATGTGTTCAACAATGCAACAGTAAGTAAAGGTCAAGCATGATGCAATCAATGACGGAACAGTAAAGTACAGGTCAACTGCGATGCAATCAATGACAGAATGGTAAAGTAAAGGACAACCATGATGCATTCAACAATGTAATAGTGATGGAAGTTGTGGGGAAAGAATTGAAAACAAAAGATGGAAAAACACTGGCATAATATATGGTAGACTGTCAACAGTCACATGACTAAACATTGGAAAAGCCACCAGTCCACAAACACGTTACATTTATGATTATGCATTTAGGTCCACAATTAAAGCCTTGACTTTCACTTGCCCTAACATTCTCAAAGATGGCCCATGACTAAACATTGGAAAAGCCACAAGTCCATAAATGAGTTACATTTATGATTATGCATTCAAGTCCACAAATGCCTTGAGCGAGCGTGAGCATACTGGAGTGTAGAGGGGAGACAGAGACAATAATGAGATGAAATGATGATGAAGATGAGAGAGAACAATGATTAACCAGTTTAGTAATGACAATGGAGACAAAGACAATAAATTATCACAGGCTGCTATCTATTTGGTACGAGGTGTGCTCTACAAAGCAAAATGAAATTTTGGGCACCAAAGTCCTAGTAGCAACCCCTCACAGGCAGTACAGCCTGGGAATACTCTGCCCTTTAAGGGATGGAGGGGGTGCCACCCCACCAAACACAACTCCAGAGTACTCTAGAAGCACCTGCTATGGCAAGCAGGCGTGTGCTAGGCGGTACCGCGACCAAATAAAGGCAAATAAATACACAAACAGAGCTTGAACATGTGACATATCAACTTTGTGTGCATTTGAAACCTCAAAGATACAGTACACTATCTCACAACGTATACGGTAATAATCACTGCAGAAATGAGAATTTGATCAGACCTGGACAGGGTGTGAAAGACCACATAAATGGTATATAATCAGAGATGATAGATTGTGCAAACCCCAAAGGGACAGAGTAGTGAGAAGTACCCATTTCACATTCAAAACCGACACAGAAAACATAGCTGTTGTAGAATAAGAATATGTAAATCATGATCTAACCCAACAGTGTAATTGATTTGATTTGATTTGATTTGTGAGGATTGCATGTCTGATTTGTGTCTGAGCATGGTAATAACTAAGTCTGATTAGAATCTGAATACAAAGCCACCATATGACCATTTGCTTCCCCTGGGGATTCGCCCCGCTCCTCAATGCCTCCTGGTGATTGCATTCTCTTGTTCCCTGCCACCTCTTACCACCACGATGTATGGCTCTCAGAGCTCACAGCGCCGACCAAGTGGTGCTCCCGGTTTCTCTGTTCTAAATCATGTTAGCCAAGAACGACAGCATACTGTGGTGGGGGACATACCATACAACTTTGGCAGTGATCAATCCCACCTGTCTCCCTTGACCCCCATGACTCCTGCTCTGCCTCAACCAGATGATGTATTCGGAGGGCCTCGTGAACAGACTGGCACTGTAATAAATCAACAAGACACTCATCTTGAACATCAAGAAAAACTTACTTGTTTATTAGTCTGGTGATGCTACAAATGGGCTCATGCAGAATCAGCACAACCAGATTGGCACTGGACAGGCTGGACAAATGAGCTCACCAGAGTTTCCCGTCCATTTGGGTTGCCTCATGAACATCAAACACCATCCCATCCTATGTGAGCCCCTAGTGTGCCAAACTTTACTCCGTCTTCTCAGGGCAGGTCACCTTACCTTGGCCATGATTCACGGACATTGTTCTCGAATAGTGAACTGTCCTCCCATGGGGGCATGGTATGGACTTACCACAGGACCTGGTTTCTTCGTTGTGAAGCTGAAACTAAATCCATCGAGCTGTGTGGGCAAGTCTAATTTGATGGTGAAGTTGCTCTTGCTTTCATCCAACATCTTTGAGTGAATGGTGGACTTAGCGAAGAATTAGAGAAACACACCTTCGAACATGCAGACTAAATTCAGACAGTTGAAAACCATATGTCCACAGGCTGATTTATGTTGGGACAGCATACATTTCACAAGCAAATGAAGATCTGGAAAAGTCCTCTGAAAAACATTCGAAAGGCTCTGAAAAGGCCTGTTTACACCTATTATTTCTCAAATTCGGCTACATGTCTGATTTATGTCAGATTATGAGGTGGGTACATTTTGCTTCTGATTACTCCTGATATCTCACTCAGATTATGCTCTGATCAAATTCTCATTTCTGCAGTGAATGTTGGACTTAAGGTAGGGCTCATGCACAACCAACTAACATCACATGACCAACAGTGACTTTTGTGTGACTTTGGAGTGTACAGCTAATAACTGTCGTAAATGTCACTGTTTGGCGAAAAAAAAATTGCAGTCTTCTTTGTATTTGTATTTAGAACAACTTTGTGGGGCTGGATTTTTTTTAAAAAATTGAGAATTGTGAGTGCCATTAGAAAAATGAGTCTTATGGGCCCAGAAATGAAATCTCTGTGTGTGACAATTAGGGGGTAACACTACAAAAAAGGTAAACCTTCACCTCCATGTCCGCGTCCTCAGATTACTGCACCACAGGCTGCATAATGCTGAAGTGTGCACTGGGTAACCTGAAGAATCTTGGTGAACAAAGAACCTTGTTGATGCACCAGAGTCCATGAGTGTGGAGCAAATGCAGAAGTAAGCCCCCTTTTTTATTTGATTGTTCTGTTTCACCCAAAAATTTAGATATGTGCACTGTTCTCGCAGATTCATGGAAGCTTATAAAAAGGGCCTAATGGGAAAACAAGCAGTGTGAGCAAGCAAAAAATACAGAGGTCATGGAGTCCTCCCTTACTCTATTGTTGCTGAGCTCCAAATATACTCGATGCTACAACATCTAGCTCAATGTTAGTAGCTAGAAATCTACTATAAGATCATTTTCCTCATATCTATCTATATGTGTTCAGCATCTGCAGGAGTCAAAATGTCCTCGTCCCCCTCCTGCCTTATCGGGACGATTCTCATATAAGCGTCCCCATGTCCCCCTTTGCATGGTCCTTTTTGGGGGCCTCCACCCTTCTTTTGATCAAAATCCATGCTTTCTCCATTGTGGGAGTGTCCCCGTCCCTTTATGGCCATCCCCCTTGCCATCACCTCTTCCGCATTCGCGTCCGTCCCCCCCTTATGCAACCATCCCCCTCCCTTTATGGCCATCCCCCTCCCTTTATGGATGTCCCCTTCCCTTCATGGCCATCCCCGTCCCTTTATGGCTGTCCCCCTTTGCCGTCACCTCTTCTGCATTCATGTCCGTCCCCCCTATTATGTAAGATGGGCCACATTCTTACCCTGGTTCGTCACATGACTCAAGAGGTCAAAAAAAAAAACCTCATCTTTGTCTTATCGCTCTGTGGCAATATATAGAGTCACTGGCGTCAGGCATCAAGGGCATCCAACATTGCGCTGATGTTGCTTATTTTGCATGCCTAAACTTTGTGATAGCTGCGATGCCTGCTCATCCCTCATTTTTTGTATTTACCTTGTAATAATTACATGGGTGTATCGCTACATACTATATGCACATAATCACAGAACCATTTTCAATCACACTTCATGTACAGTGAGCTACGGGTGAATTCAGCGAAAGGTCGCACTAAAGTCAAGCAATGTCCTAGAGTATGACCCAGCACAAGGGACAGAAAGCCAGAATGAGTGGTCACAAAGAGACGGAAAGGAATTCGACGTCATCCTGACATGCTGTTGCATGCCTGAAACAGCGACCATGCATCGGTGCCTCAAAAGAGCGAAAATACTCTACCTAACCTTCAAGGTCACATTATTGATGGGTGATGAAGTCAAAAGTTCAACAAACTCACCAGTTGGCACCTCAAAAAGCAACAATAATCCATGATTGCAAGGGATGCAGATTCATGAGACCCCCATGCCTCACTGCAGATGTAGATAGAGTCGCCTTATATGTCAGCAACCTCACAAAAGCAAAAACAATTTACCTGGCCTTCATCAAAGGATCGCTCGGTACAAGAACATCAGAAAGACAGGAAAATGCAAAAACAAATCCAGCCAACACCCAACCAGACATGTACAACCCAGAGACTCTCTCATGTACAGAAAGAGGGGGAGTGACCCCATTATGTAGAGCTTCTTGCAGTACAACAGAAGCACACCTCTCCATACAGAGAGGTGTCTACATGACAGTTGGAGCACATAGAGGGAAAGATGCGAAAATAGCCAATCCAGCCAACACCCAACCAAGCATGTACAGCCCAAAAACTCTTTCATGTACAGAAAGAGGGGGATTGACCCCATCATGCAGACTTCTTGAAGTACAACTGAAGCGCGCCTCTCCATACAGAGAGGCATCTACATGATAGTTGGAGCACAAGGAGAGAAAATTGCAAAGATAAACCAAGAATACACACAGCCAAACATGACATAATGCATATAGTGCAGTCGTCCTGATAGAGCTCAACAAACACATCAAAATATTATCCTGCAAGTACAATTTGGTTGGGGCATCAGAGATTGATTGATACTCTTACCAGTAGACTGAGTGCTGTGGTTGTTGTGGGGTTGAGTAAGTCAAAAAGAAAACTAAGGTGTGGTGCATTACAGCACATCGCATATCCAAACAAATCAGATGGCCAAAAACCCAACCCCTGATGGAGGAAAAACAATGTCACAGCCTTTTTCCTGTTGGCAGGGAATGGTCACCATGGTGCCAAACCCATTTTGCATCTTCTCCCAAGCCAGGGCACCTGTGTTTGTTGATCTGTGTTCCTATTTTGTTGTTCAATAGTCCCATTTGGGCTTGGTATGTTAATCCCTGGTTTGAACCTGCAGCAGGGCCGATGGCCAGCATGCTGCCAAGCCTGTTTGACACAAGCAAATGTCTAAGTCTGGATTATGCTCTGAGATAGGGCGCTCAGACGTACTGAACTGAAGCTATTTGGGTCCTGTGTATGAATGTGATGGGCTCTTGGATTTAATGCTCTGCAAACCTCTGTATTGGTGCAATATTTTTAATGTAGGCAGTGATTGCTCCAAATGGTTTTGTCCCTCCATTTTTAATGTTAAGCATGACCAGGGGTGCTTCAATTTTCTGATCTGCGCACCATATACGCCCATCTGAAGGTTGAAGGGTCTGTCCCTCCATTCCTCTGACCACTAACTGTCATTTTTTTCATTCTTTTTCTTTGTGTGTTTCTTTTTTGTTTTTTAGCCTGCCACAGTCACATTATGCTATATCCCTGCAGGTTCAGGATTGTTGATCATTGCAGGAAATTGTATAAGACTGTATGTGCTCAAAGCATCCAACCACCAACTATACAGCACCAGACATACCTATATCTGCATATCCTCTGCTCACCATATAGATGTCCAAATACTGTGAATTTCCTGACTGCGAATGCAGGCACACACCAATGAAGAGACCCAAAAACACAAATGGCGCTATCACTCCTTCCCTGTTTCCTCCATCATCAGGGGACACGAGTACATTGTGGCACAATCCGACACTCACTATGCCTGCCCATTGCCTGGGTGTGACAAAGAATTGAGGAAGTGTGACGACATGCAGAAGCACATCATCACTGACCACAATGGTGGCGTCTCCATCAAGGTCTTTGGGTTTTGTCTGGCGGGAGACTGAGCAGCCTGAAGTGCTGTGGAATCCCAAGGACAATATTCTGTGGCAAGGCCTGTGGACAATCCAGGGAACTCTGGAGGATGATGCGGTCTGGCAATGGGTTGTGAAAGAGGTGGTATCAACAGACAAGATGTGTGCAGAAGTGTTGAAGAAAGCAGGCTATATGTGGATTGCACACAAGAGCAAGGCAGGTGAGTGTTACTGTGGTTGTTACACCGAAGTATAATGCAGGCAAACAATCAACCAATAAGACCAAAGGTCTGTCAATATGTTCTAGACAACTGTCTAAAGAACACCCAAGTTCAAATAAGACTAAGTACCAAAGAGGTAACTTAGAACCAAGTCAGAATGATCAGAGGAAAACCAGCGTAGGTTAAGCTGAAGAATCAGCGTCACCTAGCCAGGGTTTATATAGTACACAGGGTACAGGGCGTTATGTAGTAATAGGTACTGATCAGTAAGCTACATGTGTAAGCAATGAGGCGTCTGAGTCATACCAAACTAAATATAGACTGATAAGAGTCGTGCATAGTCAGCATGGATCAAGGGAAAGAAGAAAAGAAGTCCATAGAACAACACAGCCATAACAGTGGTAGTTCAATTACTTGTGGCCCTGATTTCTTGTACCCAGCAGAAGGTTTGAGTGCCATTAGCAATGCCTGGGGCAAGGACCGCCAGGGGCCCATGCATATGGACCAGGATGGCGATGGTTCATCAGAATCTTCTGGTGAGAACAAATGTTTGATGCCACAGATATAGCTAATACATTCTACACCCTAAGGTGGAAGGGGCGCCTCCATGCCTGCTGCCAATGAAGCTGCTAGTGCTGGTGCCAGTGCTGCAGATCGCTCCACTGACTCTTGCCCTCCAGCTCCATCCGCTTCCACAGGCCCCACTGCCCAAATTGATGATGCACGTCATCCCCCCAGGTCCACCAATACTCCTCCACCTACTGAGACTCTTCCCAGCATGGGTAGCTCTCATCTCTTTGGGTCCATAAATACTCCTCCACCCTCTGAGGCCCCTGTGGGAGTGGGTAGCACTGCTGCTTCTGATCTGACAATCCAACAACCGGTGTCGCCTCTCTACATCCTCATCTATCAAGGTGTATCCAAGTATGTCAAGCATGAGCAGTCTCTGCATGAATATGCAACCAACTTGAGGAGCAACTTTCCTGCCTCCAACTATGAGGCTGCCATTGCCAGGTACGAGGAGAAGCTCGCCGCCAGGTCTTTGCAACCTTTCAATGCCAGAGAGTTCCAACTGCATGTGACACATTTCATCAACCAACTCAGTATAACAGCAGCCATGTTGGCAGCCGATGAGCAGAACAAAGGCCTCCTGTGATTGTCTACTTACTCTTGTGGCTCGCATTGAAACATTGTATAATATGTATTGCATGTATTGCACACTGAAACTTGATTTCTTTGCGGTATTCCCACATTGTCACATCAAACTTGCATACAAAAAGATTGTGACACCGCTTGATACAGCAAGGGCTCAAAATCACAGGTGTTGTGTTGTGAGCAGAGCAATGCTGGATCCACTTTGAGTCCCCACCCCAGACACTAACATATCCACCACTCTGTGTCATCGAGCACTTGATTTATACCCTGGTGGGTTTTGCACGTTAAACTAATAGTATGGTACCAGGGCAATTATGATGGTGCATTGGACACCCAGATCATTTAGCTACAATTGAATCACCCAGTATGGGCCTTGATGGCCATGTGCAGAGTAGCAAGCTTCACTTTATCGCACGGTATGCTACCAATACATGCGATTTACTACTTGCGATGTACGTGCATAGTATCAATGTCTATGGCAATAGGATTGACTTCATCTTCCATCATGTGTTCATCCATCACGGCATGACATCTCTTCTTCCCATTCCCTTTGCCTCCTTTGCCCTTGCCCTCCTTTTCCCACGTGATTGAGATGATTTGTCCTTGTTATTGTTGGTGAGATCTATGAAAAAGTTTTGTAGGCCTGTGGAAGGTGGGAAATGGTGCCAGAAGACTTGTGGCACCAGGACTGGGTGAACCCTCTTGAAATGCTCATTATCTTTGTCCATCCTCACCCACACAGATGTCCAACTGCACTTCAAGCACAGTAGACTCACCTGGTCATCACGATTAACACGTCAAAATGCACTCGAAGCACAGGACACCTACCTTAGGTCTACCTGTGCTACAATTGTACACATGTATGTTTGTCGCAGACAGATTACACCCTGCTGTGCCACAGGACCTGTATTTGGCGCCAAACGCATGGCACCCAGGGCTATTCTTTGCTATCTGACAGCACTCGACATTTTGTTTTCCTTCAGTGGTGGTGGTGTACACCAGGACAGTGGTAGTGCAATCCAAGATGCCCTGATTTGCAGCGATCAAGTCCCAAAACGACACCCAGACATCTGTGGCTCCGAACATCCCACACTTGACAATGAGAGATCTCATGATTATTGATATGAAGGACGGCAATGTCCCTGATCCACTGAACCCAAGCACAAAATTGAACATGTCTCTGAGGGATGGTGAGGTGAGCGAGTGGTGGATGTATCAGAAGACAAGATGTACTTGTCCACCAGCTCTACCATGGATTCAAAGTGATGGTGAACCCTGATCACAGGGCCACAGCTTACCAGCATCAGTACTCTTCTGCCTCCTCTGGCATTGGGTGTGAGCTTGCACCATGGCTCTTCACCTGTCTTTGTGGTAACAACAGTTTCATCACTCCTTGCAGCAAGCGAAGTGTTTGCTGTGCCTTTCAGGAACTCCTCGCCAAGGTATGCGGTCACAATTCCTGTGATTGTGGTGTTGGTGCTGCCGGTGTGCCCTCCAGTGTGCTGGAGAATTCCACTGTACTCATCGGAATGGGTGTCCATGATTATGAATGTGTTGGGGGGGAATCCAGCTTCAATGTTACATTTCATGAAGCTAACACCTTCAGCAAGCTTCCTGGACTGGGACACATGCGCACCCCCATGCATGTGCAAGTCTTTGACAAACAGCTAAGAATACAAAGTGTTCAGCATTGCATTGAAGTCATGTTAGTCACATGTACGTTCTTGTGATTATCTTATCCCTATAGTGATACTCTACCTCACATCTCACTGTTGATGCTAGGTAGTTGTCTTTCTGTTAGGTACTGTGCCGGCTCAAGAAGCAGAGGGGTCGGGGCTTGGCTTCAGCTCTTGCGCTGCGCCCTTAGCCGAGTACATGCCCTGAAATTGGAGCGGGTCCGATGTTGTCCGACAATAGGACGAATGGACTGCTTTGGTCTGCTTTGAGGGTCAGGGAGTAAGAGCTGCTAGCAGCGGGCCGACTAGGAGTGGATACAAACGATGATTGGCGGAGCAGAGGATGAATGAAGCGGAGGGGGTTGGAAAGCGGAGCGGATATTAATATTAGGGTGGTGGGATCAGGTATATGACACTTTCATGGACTCCAGGCTCAGGCTGACGATTGCCATGGGCCAGGTCATCTTAACTTTCTTCCATATCCAGTATGCCAGGACAGTGTAGGGCAGCGGAGCGTCCTCGTTAGCTGTGGTCCTAGCACAAATTGGGCAGCAAAAGTCCTTGGTGGTATCCACCATTCCATAACAGAGGCAGTCGCTGCCCCAAGGAATGGACTGTTGGCACATGATGCCACTGCAATCAACACATTCATGGCAGTATGGTTGTTGGACGTGGTCACAACAGAAGTGGCAGTAGTTGCCGATGTTTATGGCATGGAATGAGGGATTATTGGATTTGCCACTGGCCTCAGTTTGTTGGACACCGGACGACATGGCGGTGGTAAGGGAATGGGCTTTGGTGGATCTGACCACCTGCCCATCATCACCTAGGTTGCTGGACATCTTGACATATGTCCCAGGTCAATAGTCCCCGGCCCTCCGCGAGTGATTCCTGTGAAGTGGCCACCTGCTGTAGATTTACTGTTTTTCTTAGGAGGTATGGTGTGGAGAAATGGAATGATGGAAGGAAAGAAAGAAGCATGGTATAAATGGCCATGTTTTGTTTTATACCCAATGCGGCATCGCCACAACCCTTGGTAAGAATACATGTGTTCAGACCAACCATTGTTCATCTCAGTGGATGTGAATTTCCTTGCATCTCATTTGTTATATAGTGGTATTTATTGGACTAAACATGACAAATTATACCGGACACCAAAGTCCCAGTAGGAAAGAACAATTTCCCCATAAATAATGCGCTAATCACGCGATGATTGATGGTGATTGAGATGTCACGTGATCAAGGTTTGTTTGTTTGTTTGTTTGTTTGTTTGGCTTTGTTTGGTCGTGGTTGATTTTTCGTTCTTTCTTTCTCTCTGCAACCATCTACAAGCCCTTGTTTGGTCGTGGTTTTTTTGTTTCTCTCTCTCTCTTTGTTTCTTTCTTTGTTTCTTTGTTTCTTTGCATGGATGTTGCTTTGTTTCTTTCCTCCTTACTTCTGCATCCATCCACATTACGCGTGCCACCCGCCAATAATATGCTTGAAAAATAAGGCTGCAGCTACCATATCTTGCCAGTGATCACCCTTGGGTTGTCCAGCAAGGACACCGATGATCCGTTCTTCCTTGTCCAACAAAACATGAGGGGTGCTGTCACATCCATCGATAAGCCTGCCTCGTGGAATAGGCTAACATATATAACCTACTGTCCATCCTATTCTGCAACTTTGAATTCCTGTTGCAGCAGGCAGTCAAGCTCTTGAACAGCCTTGCAGGGAGACTCACACAGCTTCCTAATGTACGCTCCTCGAGCGATTGGTAGGCATTTCACCAAGACTTTGCTGGTGATTGACTTTGCAAGGTGTCTGTTGGCTAGCTTAGACCTTTGCTTATAGATTGTCATATCTCAGGCGTGCTGCAGTCAATGACAAGCTTGTTTCCCATTCTGTTTATGGGTTCCATTCCTATGTGGAGGGAAGTCCCCTTGCATCTTGACTTCACTGTCTTCATGGCCGACACCCCAAACCCTGGTAGTACGGTTGTTGGGAATGTCATGTTCAGGTGGCAGAACTCCAGGTCCTTCACTGAAGCCTCTATGAAGGACTTGCCCTAGATCTCAACCTTGCAACAGATCATGCATCTGCATGGCCTCATCCTCCAAAGCCTTGTGGATTAGAGGGACTATGTCACCATCCATACACAATTTGATGATTAGAGCATGCATGAGTGGGTGGGTGTTGGAGGAGACCTGTTTTTTTGTCCTCAGCCTTCATGTGGATAGAGGGATTGACAAACCCCAACATTGAAGGTGACTGCTGATTGATGATCAGTGTTTTCCATACCTGTTGCAAAGCGAAGGGATCATGGTGAGATTCTGTTAGAATGAACAGCGAAGCTGCTGGCACACATACCACCCCCTTTTATAATTCCAGTGAGGGTATGAAATAAGCGATCATTGATCCAGAGAAATACAATGGTGTGCAATGTGTCGTGAAACCACACATGCGCCATGTATGTTCACTAATAAGGTCATCAAATAAGCGATCATCAATTCAGAACAATACAATGACATGTAATGTGTTGTGAAACCATGCATGCATTTCACCTAAAGCTTGATTACATCATGAAACTACACATGCATTGCAAAGGAGTAATAAGAATGAGGTCATGGAGAATGATATGAAACACATTTAGCCACACTGGCACCCACTCGACTGCCAACACATAATATGGCCATTCCAAACACGTAAGCCTCATTGAGGTTGGTTATGTTTGCGGTGAAATAGTACTGAAATAGCACCAAATATATAGTAGATATGCCTAGAACCTATTAAACACCCATTGTGAGGAGGAAGGCACAATAAATAAATCGTACATTCACAGATTCCCTTCCAGTTCAGTCTACCATACTTTCACAACCCAATCATGTACTCATTCGGTCTATTTCTTGTGAAATCAACTCACCACCTGCTTTGAGCACCAAAGCAATGACAAAGACTTACATGAGGCCATGACTTTTATCAGGGAAGTGCTGGTCCATCCAAACTGTTCATTGTGGATGGTGAACCAATGACAGTTTGTTTTCTTTGCAACCCGTGCTGTGTGCCCCAGCCAAGATCCAAGTCTATCTCAGATTCAATGTCGAAGTCAGCATTTGGCACAATGGCTGCCACAGAATTCATGTGTACTCAATCCAACCAAGTACTGGACTCTACGTGATCAATGCGTTCAGTTGATAGCAACCTGTTCTTCACATTGTGGTGTCACTTACCCTCCCTCATGTCACATCTGAATAGTTCAGTGTCATTCGAACACAAGTGGAAACCCATCACTCATACAGCTAATGATCTGGCTAGATTACTGATTGTCAAGCCCAACATTGAAGGCTTCAGCTGTGCATTTCAATATTAGCAGTAGCTATACACAACATTGTAGTATTGTGCGACTTAGTAAAGTGGGCATTGGAGCGTCACACACTTAGTGCACTTGATGAAGTATCTGCAATGCATGCGAATACAAGACCGGGTTTGACAAGAACAACGCATGACAAGAGCAATGAAACGGCAGGGTGCATTCCATAGTACCAATAATGCCCTCGGCATCTGCATGCATATGTTATAACGAGGGGAATAGTCAGTGCTTCAATGCTGGGATAGGTACTCCTCATGCTAGATTCAAAACACTCTTAATTAAATGTTGTTAGCGACATTGGATGAAGTGCTCTACCAGTTTATGGAATGCATGAGGACCTCATCCACCTCATCCAATGAGTAGCGACACAAATAGATATCCTCAACTTCTGCATGTATATGTGCCATAACGAGGTGAATAGTTGGAGCATCAATTTTGGGTTAGGCATTCATGATCTGACATTTCAAATACTCTTAAATACCATTTGTGGCATTTACCAATGTGATCTACTAGTCTAGGGAGTGATCAAGGACCTCGTCCACATGCTCCAACAAGGAGTGGCACAGTTTAATTACAGACCACACACATGAGTCCCTCCTTTCAGCCCTTCTCCTTGCCTGGTCCATTTCGGTCTGACATTCAAAGGCTGGACCAATGAATTTGAGGATGGAAATGCTCGACAGCATGATCTTGTGTGCCATGAGTTGGATTTTTATCAGAGCCCAGAATTGGTGTCATCCCAAAGTGTGCACTCCTTCATCACCACCTCCATCCTCAGCATCTGGGCCATGTGTACCATTCCCAGATATCCCTAGTCATGGATGCATTGTCGCACATTGAGGTTTCAACCAAGGTCCTATTGCCACTCTCCCTCTGCCCCGCTGCCACATGCTCTTCTCCAGCATTGTTGTCGTTTGCAGGCTGCCCATTGACACACCCACTGGGAATGGCCAAGGTGGCAAATGCTTCAGAAAGGATCTTATGAAGGCCGTTTGATAATATCTCCATGTGCTGTCTAATGTGCATGTTGACCATCAGCATGTTGTCATCACCCTTATCCTCTGGGTCATATCAATCTGCAGATGCCTTGTACTTTCCCTTGATTATGTCCTCAAGGGCTGACTGAAAGGGGGGTGCTACACTGGCTGTGAAGATAGTGTAAGTTACATAGCAGGTAGGCATTCAGATACACACCAAAAGTCATACACTTTTCCTTGGGCCATCCACCAGTACTGGGCATGACATGTATTAGTTGATAGGTATTGATTTAGAATAAGGCAAAATCAAGTCAAGTGAACTGTGAAGAATGATCCCTTGGTGTGCGATGGGCCAGAGTTAAATAAGTTGTGGATTGTAGATTGTGGACTGTGGATTAAATGTTAGACTAACTCGGATGCAGGTGCTGTGGAAGAGTGATCCGGTGGAGTAGTGTCTATGAGTCTGCAGCAACTCAACATTACATAATAAAGTGCATCCTACATCAGACATTAGGAGCATCAATAGCCACTGTCCACAGTCCACACATCCACATTTAGCATGTCTATTTAATCCTGTTTTCTCGCTACTCTTCACTATCTACAACTCCCATCTCAACAGCATCCAAGATTTGTTATAGCAACTGGCACGCTTAAATATTTCTACGATCATCATTTGCCATGTTGCAGTGCACAAGAAAACGGCTGGCAGAGGACAGCCCTGACTCTCCTTGCAATAGCAAGCACACCAGGGAAGCTGTAGAGGAGCATTTTACAGGACCATTCATGGTATGTTGTGCTCACAAATCTCTGTACATTAGTTGACATGATATGCAGGATGCAGAAGACTATTACATTTGTGAGCTGCGCTACGGAAGCCCTGCATCAGGCATCACCACACTAGAGCAAGGGCTGTGGATAATAATTGAAATGTTGTAGGCATGACTCCAAGAATTACACAATGATATGGGTCATGCTGAGGCTGATCATAATTGGGAGATGTATACACATGAGCTGCAGATCACACAGCACACCAACTGTATTGCAGACCTGGAATCCAAAGTGCGGTCCCAGCAAGATCTGCTGGACCTGTAGTCCAAGGACCTGGAATGTCTTGAGGCGAGGACAGGGAGCCAGGAAAAGCGAATTCATGACCTCATACGCGTGGAACTGCTCAAGGATATGTTAAATGCGGAGTGCCTGAAGATGATGAGGCATGCAATCAAGATTCTGGAGACATGACATTTACCATCTAACCCCTTCGAATAAATCACATACTCAAACACATCACATACAGATACCAATTCCACCTATCTTGCTATTGATTGACCAGGGAGACGCCCTTGACTGTACTTAGCCGCGTTTACTGTCATTGGAGCAGCACCAATCAGCGGTGCTCATGCTAGTTACATTTGCCATATATAATTACTACTTTAGGAGTACCAGTACA